TAATACATTGCTGCTGGGAGTGAAAAATGGTGCAGCTGCTGCAGAAAAAACAGTTTGGAGGTTTCTCTAGAAGTTAAAGAAAGTTACCATTTTAGCCAGTAATTCCACTCCTAGCTACAAACCCAAGAGAACTGAAAACATGTCTGCATAAAAACTTGTACTTGATTATTCATAGCAACATTATTCATAGTAGCCAAAACAACCAATGGATAAATGTCATCCAATGAATGAATGAGAAGTCCATATGCAATGGAATATTTTTCAACCATAAGAAGGAATGAAGTGCTGATATATGTTCCCACATGAATGGGCCTTAGAAACATGCTCAGCCCAAACCGGTTTGGCTCAGTGGATAGAGTGTCGGTCTGCGGACTGAAGGGTCCCAGGTTCAATTCCGGTCAGGGGTATGTAACTTGGTTGTGGGCTCATCCCCAGTGGGGGTGTGTGCAAGAGGCAGCTGATTGATGTTTCTCTCTCATTAATGTTTCTAACTCTCTATCCCTCTCTCTTTCTCTCTGTAAAAACTATATATATTTCTACTTTAAATATATATATATATATTTAAAGTAGAAATATGCTCAGTGACAGAAGCCAGACACAAAAGGCCATATATTGTCTGATTCTATTTCTAGAATAGGCAAGTTCAGAGATACAGAAAGTCAATTAGCAGTTCCCAGTGGCTGGGGAAGAGAGATAGAGAGTGATGGCTAAAGGGTGTGAGGTTTCTACCTGGGATGATAAAAATGTTCTGGAACTAGAAGGTAGTGGTGATTGCACAACCTTGTGAATATACTAAACACCAGGGAGTTACACATTTTTAAATGGTGAACTCTATAGTGTATAAACATTTAAAAAAAATCCCAATGGAAAAGACATGTTATGTACAGAGAACCAAAGACAAGAATAATGCCATATTTCTCATTGGAAATAATGCAAATTAGTACACAGGGGAGCTGCATATTTTGTTTTTTGAGTTTTTAAAATTATTTTCTTGATTTCAGAGAGGAAGGAGAATGAGAGAGAAACATCAATGAGAGAATCATTGATCAGTTGCCTCCTTCATGCCCCCTGCAACCTGGGCATATGCCTGACCCAGAATCCAACCATGACCTCTGGTTCATAGGTTGATGCTCAACCACTGAGTCACACTAGCTGGGGAGGAGCTACATCTTTAAAGTATGAAAAGAAAAAGCTATTTGAGCAAAACTATCTTTCAAAACCAAAACCAAAATAAAGTATTTTTCATATATACAAAAGCTGAAAGAATTCCAGCCTATCCAGTCTCCACACAATGTTAGAAGACATCCTTCAGGCAGATGGAAATCTAGACCCACACAGCAGAATGCAGAGCATGGAAATAGAGGTACATGGGACATGTGTCTGCTCTTATCTTATTTAAGGTAATCTACTTGTTATTGTGTTTTTAATAGTTTTTTTTTCCTTTTAAAAATATTTTTATGGTTTTCAGAGAAGAAGGGAAAGGGAGAGATAGAAGCATCAATAATGAGAGAGAATCTTTGATTGGCTGCCTCCTGCACATCCCCTACTGGGAATCGAACTGTGACCTCCTGGGTCACAGGTTGGTCAATGCTCAACCACTAAGCCTCAGTGGCTGGACTAGTTTTCTCTTTCTTATTTTGAGAGAACTGTAGATTCACATGCTGTTCTGAGAAATAGTATAAAGCCAGCCAGCATGGCTCTCTCCCTCTCTCTTCCTTTATCTCTCTCTAAAAAAAAAGTCAATTAAAAAAAAAAAGAAATAATATAGAGATCCCATATATCTTCACCCAGTTTCTAGCAAGGTTAACTTTTAACTAACCCATTAGTGACATTAATCCATACACTGACCTTGTTCAGATTTTACAAGTTTCACATGAATTCCACTGTGTGTGTGTGTGTGTAGTGTTCTTTCAATAAAATGCAGTTTCATGACCCTTGCTGCACTTATCAATAACATGTTCCTTTTCCTTGCTGAATAACATTCCTCCTGCTTTCCCCCTTCTCCCTAATCTACTACCAATAAATTTCATGTAACCCATTTACACCTCTTTTGATTGTAATGTATAAAATAAGGTGTAAATCTGCCATTCTCTGGAGCATTATCGCAATCTGTTGAAATTTTGCTTCCTGGCAATTGTTTTGTTCAAATATTCACAAAAATTCTGTACAGGTTTCAATGGGTCAGAGCACAGTTAACCATTCAACCCCTGAGGAGAGATGGGTCATTACCAGGTTTTGACTATTAGAAATAAAGCTTCTATGAGCATATGGGTATAGGTTGTGTTATGAATTTGAGTTTACATTTCTTGAATAAATGCCCAACAAAATGATGGTTAAGTCATATGGTAAGTACATGATTAGTTTTATAAAAAACTAAAGGCCCCATGCACAAAATTCATGCAAGGGGCTCAGCCCTTGGAGGCATAACAGCTCCTTGGCCCTTACAACCCTGGCTTTATCTGGAAGGTTGTCCAGATGGTCATTCCTCTGTTCGGCCATTTGGTCAATTTGCATATTATGCTTTTATTATTATAGCAGACTAGAGGCCCGAGGCACAAAGATTCATGCAAGAATGAGCCTTCCGGGGGAAGAAATGAGGAACCTTTGTAATAATATGAACAGAAAGGATTGATTAAAAAAAAAAAAAATGAATCTTCCTTCCCCTGGTTGCCAGCTCCGCCTTCGCTTTGCCAGAGCCGCCTTTCCACCTTCCCACACTGCCTAACGGCCCAAAGTGGCTGGGGCAGTGCAGAAGGCCTGCATCGTTGCCATGACAAGGATGCAAGCATCCTACCCTACCCCCTCACCACTCAGCATCTGTTAAGCTGCCAGCTTTGTTGGGCTAATTTGCATACTCACTCCTGATTAGCTGGTGAGTGTCGCAGAGGCACGGTTAATTTGCATCTTACTCTTTAATTAGTGTAGATTCCCTACCATGATCCAGATTAGCTGCACCATTTTCCACTCCCATGTGGATGAAAAGGTGCTACATGCTTCCCTGAGAAGGCCTGTGTGACCTCCTCGCAAAATCAAAGACCTACAGTAACCACAAAGGATGGTATGAAATTAAAACTTTTCAGCTAAAAGCAGCTTATGGTGGGTAATCATGTCCTAGGCTAGAATCTTCCTTCACAAAAGTCAGTCTTACCTTGACTGAGCCTGTCTATTGTCTTTTGCATCTACAATAACACACGGTTGGGATGTCAGGGTTCTTTTTCTGGACCCCGCAGGGCACAACCAATGCACCAGAGCGGAGACTACAAATCCTCTCATTGTTGCTAATTGTTGACTATTAACTATCCAGCACCCACCCACCTAAAAGATGTATATGTCCATCATTTTACTTTGTACCCAATCCCAGAGGCCCTCCTCCTGCTTTCTCCCTTCTCCCTAATCTACCACCAAAGAATTTCATGTAACCCATTTACACCTCTTTTGATTGTAATGTATAAAATAAGGTGTAAAACTGCCATTCTCTGGACCATTGTTGCAATCTGTTGAAATTTTGCTTCCTGGCAATTGTTTTGTTCAAATACTCACAAAAAAATTCTGTACAGGTTTCAATGTTTCTTACAGATACCCACCAGCAGTGTATAAGGGTCCCATTTCTCTGTCCCCTCACCTGCATGTGGTGGCAGCACAATTTTTATGTTAGTCATTCCACTGTGGGCAGGGATGTTTTGCTAGGGTCCTGGTTTGCATTTTCCTGTCATCTCTGTGCCTTTCCCATGAAGTTTCTGCACATGCTCCAGAAACTTTTTTTTCTTTTTTCTTTTTACTGTTTAAAATTGAGCATTCTTCATATAGTTTAGATAAAGTCCTCCACAAGATATATGGTTTGTGGATATTCTCTCAGCCTGTAGAATTTCATTCTGTCTCTCTAGCCAGTGTGGCTCCTTTGGTCAGAGCATTGTCCCATACACTATAAGGTGGCAGGTGTGATTCCTGGTGAGGGCACATACCCAGGTTGTGGGTTTGATCCCCAATGGAGTGCATAAAGGAGGCAACCAACCAATCAATGTTTCTCACATCAATGTTTTTTTGTCTCTCTCTCCCTTCCTCTCTCTAAAATCAATTTTTAAGAAACACTTCATTGTTCCATACCAGCAAAAGATTTTAACTCTGATGAAGTCCATTTTACTAATTTTTTTCTTTTACCAGTCAAGTATTCAAAGATCTTTCCTAGCTCTAGGTATTGAAGATTTCCTCCTATTGTTTTTCTGAAGTTTTATATTTTCATTAAGTATGTAATCCATTTTGAGTTACCGTAATTTTCATTTATGGTCTAGGTTCTTTTTTTCCTTTCTTTCTTATAAATGTCCAAATTATTCCAGCACCATCTTTGAAACTTTATCCTTACTCCACTCAATTGCTTTTGCACTTTTGTCAAAAATCAGTTAGACGTGTCCAGCTGGCGTGGCTCAGCTGGTGAGCGTTGACCTATGAATCAGAAGTCTCAGTAGGACTTCCGGTCAGGACACATGCCCAGGTTGCAGCCTTCATCCCCAGCAGGAGGCAGCTGACCAATGATTTTCATCATTGATTTTTCTATCTCTCTTCCTCTCTGAAATTAATAAAAAAATATATATTTTTAAAAATCAGTTAGACATATTTATAGGGACCATGGGGTGGTCTTTTCTGTGGCCATCCTCCATCCTGAAGCCATCTGCAGGAGTCACTGCTTTAGTGACTTGTCACTTAGGAATTCTAAGAGATTTAAGAGCTCTGAGCCAGGAACCAGGGATGAGACCTGGTACGTATTTCTTACTGCCCACAGTGCTATTGATCACCCACCATGCCCCAGGACACCTCCAAGCCTGTCTGGGCCCCTCCTCAGCCCTGATGCTTCTCAAAGAGTTAAGGTCCCTACTCCCACTCCAAGGAGCTCCCAGAGAGCTCTCCATCATCCACAAGACATATTCAACCTAGCACTGCCCCCCCGAGCCAGGATGCCCTGAGCTGCCCACCCTAGGCCAGCAAAGCAGGCCGGCCACACTCACAGTCCACGCGGAGCTCAGCCTTGGTGGAGGACACGCCCATGCTGTTCTCAGCCAGACAGCGGTAGACACCCATGTCTGCAGGCACCACAGCAGTGATGATGAGCTGGTGGCCGCCCTGCTGGTCATCGCTGATCATGTAGTGGTCATCCTCCTCCAGGATCCTCCCATCCTTGAACCAGCGCACGCTGGGCACGGGCTGGCCTGTCACCACACAGTCGAAGCTCACAGGGTACCCGTCCAGCACCTCCTGATTCTGCAGCTCAGTCAGGAACACTGGGGCTGGGAGGGACAGGGAGGGCGTGCAGGTTAGTAGCAGCCCCTGTGCCCAATCACCTGGGCTGCAGCGGGTGCACCCGTGTGACCCGCGAGGCCCCCATTAGACGGAGGGCACTCAGACCAAGAGGCTGAACAGCATTGTCTCTGCTCTCTGAGCTCTTCCTTCCTCCCCATTCCCTAGGGGAGTCCTCCCTTTGTCAGCCTGGCTCCCAAGCCACCTTGTGGCCAGAGGGACAGCAGACAGAAGGCGTGGAGGAGGGCAAGTAGAGGCAGGACCAAGGCATTGTGGCTGGGAGTCCAGGGTTGGAGGCCTCGCGCTCAGAATCTGCCAAGAGCCAGAAGCTGGGACCCAGCCAACGCCCTGACCTCTCAGCTGACCCTGGTCACTTACCAGCCTCGCCCCTCCTCTACCGCCCATCCTCTCCCGCCCCACCCCAAGTGGCTCACAGACTCACCAGCCTCTGTGGTCCGCGAGCTGGGCACTGGCTCTGAAGGCGCTGTGGGGGCAAGGGCCACCTTGGCGATGCGTACCTCCACCCCCCGGGGTCCCTGCTCTGAGAGGCTGATGTCCACCCCAATGCCTAGCATGTTGAACATCTCCTGGAAGTGGGTGGCCGCCCGACGGGCCTCGGCCAGGGCCTCAAAGCGGATGCAAACCAAGTGCTCATCCTCGCGGTACGTCTGCCAGTCCCCAGGCTGCGCAGGCTCCCCCGAGCCCTCGTCGGCGCTCAGGAAGATCTCCTCCTCGGAAACCTCGGTGGAGCCCTTAGTGCGGAAGAGGCGGTGCAGCCGCCGGGCTGCCCGGCGGAAGGTGTCGTCCACTTCTCCGCCAGAGGAGCTCTCGGCCTCACTCTCCGTCCCGCTGACCGCCACGTGGGCGCTGTGGACCGTGCAGCCAAACTTGCTGCTCACCTGGCAGGTGTAGCAGCCCGCATCGGCGTGGCCCACGCCAGTGACCAGCAGAACACAGGTGCCGTCCCTGAGCTGGTCAATGTGGTGGTGCCTGCCGTCCGTCAGCTCCACACCGTCCTTCATCCAACGAGCTTGCACGTCTGCCTTGCTGGACACCACACACTCCAGACGCAAGATGTCCCCCACCTGTGCCTCGGTGTCGCCAAACGTGCTCCGGAACACAGGCCCCTCCTGCTGCTTCATCTCCTTCCGCACCTTGTAACCCTTGAAGGCAGCCTGGATCTTCATGGCCGCCTTGTCCAGAGATGGGTCGCTGAGGTCCTCAATAGTCAGGTCTCCTGGCGGTGGGCTCACTGTAGCAGGCTGTTTTGGCTGCTTCTGCAGCTTTCCCGATGGGACTGCTGGAGCCCCACCCTGTGTGCACAGATCGGGTAGAGAAATGAGGCCCGGATCAGGGAAAGGATGGGCAGGGGCCTCCGGGGTAGGCTGGAGGCAGAACCTGGTCTGATCCCAGCTCCAGCAGGCCACTCTGCCTCTGCTGCTGGCAGCTGCACTACCTTCACTGAAGCCAGAGGCTTGATGGCTCCGGTTGTCACAAAAATCAAGCCCACCTTCCCTGAAATCACTTTACACCAGGATGGAGACTCACAGGGTTGTGAGGAGCACTATAGAGGGGCCAGCTCCAGCTCTTCAGGGAAATGGGGGATGGGTGCATCAGTGGATGGATAAATAAATGTATGAAAGATGCATGATGGCTGAATGAATAGGTAAGTGGTTAAATGGATGGCAGATGGATTAATAAAGGAATGGTGATGGTTGAATGGATGGATGGATGGATAAATGGGTGGTATAGACCTATGGACAGCGAATGAATGGATGGATGGTGAATGGTGGGTGGGTGGGCAGATGGGTGAGTGTGTGGATAGATAGTGATAAATGGAGGTGCATGGATGGGTAGGTAGGTTGGTGGTGATAGATGCATGAATGGATAAGTGGATGGCTGATGGAGGGATAAATGGATGATGACGGATGGATGAACAAAGGGTTATTGAACGGATGGGTCGGTGGATGGTGAATGGTGGATAAGATGATGCGTGGCTGGACAATGAGTGGTAAAGATCTGAGACACCCACGCCTCCCTTCAGGCCAGGCTGGAGGCTCACCTGACTGGCCAGTGGCGAGGTGCCAGGCTTCCCAGCCTTCTTGAGGTAGGTGACCAGGGAAGGAGTGCCCGCCCGGGACTCGTCGTCAGAGCTGGTGTGTGAGAGGTCGGCCTCACCAGTGCGTGCCAGCTCGTCGGCGGTGGAGTAGTCCTCAGACAGGTCCGGGGCCAGGTCCTCCGTCTCCTGCCGCAGGCGCTGATGGCGCCCGTCCACCTCAGGCAGCTCGCTGATGGAGTCCAGCGTGGGCTCCCGGCTCATGCGGCGCTTCCGAGCCAGCGCCTCCCACAGCAGGTGCAGGTCACCCTCCTGGGCCGCCTCGGGGGGCAGGCTGGGCTGTGCAGGGACCTCCTCTCTGGATCCTGGGGTCAGCACCACTGTGGACAGCGGGAGACTGGTCAGCCCGGTGGGAACTGGGCTGCCGACCGTGGTTCCCCTCAATAGGCCTCTGCTGCCCACCATCTGGAAAGCCCAGATGGCACAGCCCTTACAAGGTTTCAGAGGCTCCAAGCCGCTCTCCTGGGCCTCAACTTCCCCTGCTCAGGCCTCAGTCCTCAGAGTGAGGGGGGCGATGCTTGAGGTCATGGGAGGCTCACAGTGCAGGGGGGAGGACACAGTGCAGGGGGGAGGGGGCACAGTGCAGGGGGGAGGGGGCACAGTTCAGGGGGAGGAGCACAGGGCCTGAGGGGGCCTCAGAGCACAGGGCCTGAGGACTTAAGGGACCAGCAGTGGGTCTCCAGGACTGTGATGGCCGGGATCGCATTCAGGGAGGAGGTGCAGCCTAAGGCACCAGAGATGTGGGCTCGGACATGGGGCTGAGCCGTGCAGGGTCTGTGCGCCTCCCCAGCAAGCCTCAGTTTCCCTTGGTGTGAGGCCAACTCCCCAAGTGGACCCCTTGCTATGGGGGTCCTCCCCTCACCCCAGGGTCCCCCCCAACTCCTCCACTCCCGCATGCCAGGCCCCGGAGGACGCACCCTGGAAGGCCCTGGCAGAGGCAGAGACGGGATCCCTGGCAGGGCCGCAGCGGTACTCGCCCTGGTCCTCCGCCGAGAAGCCCCGGATCACCAGCGTCTGCCGCCCACTCTGGCAGAGAACCTGGAAGCGGCCCCCGGGCTGGATGCGCTCCGTGCCCTTCAGCCAGACGACCTCTCCAGCCTCGGGCACCTCACATTCCAGACGCAGGTCCTGGCCGGGCGCCACCTGCCGGCTCTCCAGGGCGCGGGGCGCGGGCGCAGGTTCCGGGGCCTCTGCTGAGGATGAGCCATCAGTAAGGACGCGCCAACCTTCCAGTTTAGGGAGGCCGAGAGCTCCAGGCTGGACCCCCACCCTTATCTGCCAGGACCGGGCAGCAGCTCACCGAGCCTCACTGTCTGGGGCAGGTGCACGGGCTCCCCGGCGCCCGCGGGGCCCACGGCCGCCACGCGGAAGCGGTAGGTCTCCCCAGGGGCCAGGCCGTCCACCACGCACTCGGGCTCGGACACCAGCTCGTGGCACAGCTGCCACTCCCCAGTGGCCGACGGCTTCATCTCCACCCGGTAGCCACGGAGGCCACCACCGCCGTCGCTGGCGGGGGCCACCCAGGACAGCGTCACAGAGCGGTCACTGCGCCCCACCACCTCGGCGTCCTCCGGGGGGTCCGGGAGGCCTGCGGGGAGGGCGGTCAGTTTGGTCTCCATTCTCTCATAGGAGGCTCCGGCCGTCCCGCCCTAGGGTCTGATTCTGGGGTGCAGTGAGGGTGGACAGATCACCCCCCAGGCCTGTGCCCGTGGTGCCTGGGCTCCCGTCCCGGGAGCCAGGGCTGTGCGCCTGGGTGGGGGACGCGGAGAGCCTGCAGTAGCTCCTGGATCTGGAGCCGCCGCCCCTACCCACCCATGGGGGCGTCCAGCACCCGAGCCACGCACCCAGCACGGTGAGCCGCGCGGAGGCCACGGCGTCGCGGGCGGCGAAGGTGACCTCGCCCGCGTGGTGCGGCCGGGCGCGGCGCAGCAGCAGCGTGTGGTGGCTGCCGTCCGCGGTCACCGTCCAGTCCTCATCGTCCGGCTGCACGGCGGCCCCGTTGATGTACCAGGTGGCCTCGCCCACGGGCACCGCCTCGCTGAGCGTGCAGCTGAAGTGGGCCTGCCTCCCTGCGCCCACGGCCGCGTCCCTCGGGGGCTCCAGGACCTCCAGGCGCCAGCCTGCGGGCGGGGCCGGGGCGTGAGCTGGGGACCAGCACAGACCAGGACGGTGGCCTCCGGGTACTGGGAGACCTTCCCCTGCCCCCCCCCCCCCGCCCCTCTACTTCCCAGCCAAATCGGGGCCCAGCTCCCGAGCGAGGGGTCTTAGAGATCGGATCTCTGAGGTCATTGTTCTCCAAATTCCAAGCCTCCAGTGGGATGGAGCTTCAGAGACCAACAGCCCCCCTTAACAGCCCACCTGCCCCTCATGAAGGCAGTATCTGGTGGAAGGGGTCTGAGTGACCCACGCCCCCTGTGGCCATTGGTTCTCCTTGCACCCTGGCATCTGGTGGGAGGGTCTCAGAGACCATGGCCACACCCCTATCCCATAGTGGGAAGGGTCTAAGAGACTCTCCCAACCCCTCCTCATCCCTTCAACAGGGTATCCCGTGGGAGGGTCGCAGAGACCCCGACCCGCACACCCACCTCTGACGGTGAGGAACGCAGAGGTCACCACGTCCCCAGCCAGGAAGGTCACCCGGCAGCTGTCCTGAGGCCGCAGGTTTTTGAGCAGCAGCAGGTGCCGCAGGCCGTTCTCGAAGTAGACCACCTCGGCGTTCTCCGAGCTGGACACGGGCTGGTCATCCAGCAGCCAGGTGTGCGCGGCCACCTCCGGCAGGGACAGGTGGCACTCGAACAGTGCTTCGCCCCCCTCGGGCACCTCCACGTTCTCCAGGCCACGCACCACTGTGTTCTTGGCTGGAGGATGGAGGGGTGACTCAGGGCGTGGGAGCCCTCACTGCCCAGGCCGCAAAGAAGTGCCCCCCATGACACAGGGCCAAACAGCGGGCCACCAGTGATGTGGAGCCTTCCTGCATGTCCTCCCCAGGCCCTGCCCGCCTCCACACCATCACCATGCTAGTGTCAGGACGGGGTCTTCCCACCGCACCAGAGAGAAGCCTCATGAGTGCTCCCACCCTTGCCCTGGCTGCAGGTGGGGCTTTACCGTCCCCCTTTCCGCTGTCTCCGGGCCACTGCTAATCAGACCTGCTGGGCTGCTACTCTCACTCACTGGGACCTGAGAGACCTCTGCCACCTTCCCCCGCCCTCTCTGTTCTCTCCTACAAAGCCCGAGAGTCTACAGTTAATGGTCATGCGTTTTCCACGGAGGCCATGAACTCAGAGCCTGACTGTGAGGCTTGTCACCTCCTAGCACCGTTTCCAGGACAGGCATCCAGCCAAGAGGAGTGACAGGAGGGGACGCTGCAATGGGAATGAAGGAGGGGGCCAGCGGGGAGTCAGCCAGCGGGGTGAAAGAGGCAACGGGCCAGGTGGTGAGAGCAGGCAGGAAAGGAGCTCCGGGTGGCCCGGGGCTGGCCTAGATGCCAGGAAAGGTCTGAGTTTGACCCACATGGCAGCCAGGGAGCCGCCACAGTCACTGAGCTGGAGGTCCGAGCCCACAGCCCCAACTGCTGTCTGGATCTGTGCCCCAGACGGAACCCACACACAGCCAGGATGCAGCCTCCCAGATCGGTTAGCATCCAGGCCCATGCTATAGGCAGGGGTGTCTGCTCTGGACAGGGGCCCAGGGAATGAGGTGAGGAGGGTGACTCAGAACAGAGGACCTGCTGGGCTGCCCACATCCCACTCCCACTGCTTTCCCTCAACAGAGCAGACTCCTCCGTGGCCCGGCCCCTCCCCTCCCCACGTTAGAGCTGACAGGGACTTAGGCATCTGATTCCATTCTGCTGGGTGGCATGATCAGGACCAGCTGACGGAGACAGGACGGGGTGAGGAGGAAGGGGGAGAGGAAGAGCAAGGGGAGGCCGGTGAGGTCATTGCTGGAGCTCACCCTTACTTCCTCCCCAAGGATGTCACCATTGTGTTGGATAAACCCCCAGATTTTAAAGCAGCAGCAAGCCCCTGAGCCCTACTGCCCCCCTTCCTTACACTGCTTCCTTCTCCATGTGGCCCTGTCTGTGGCTGCAGACTCTACCCAGATGTCCAGGAGCCCCAGACCCACCCCCCAGGCCGGGGACACACTGCTCCAATCACATTTCCAATGAGGATGTCAGGGTGCTGCTGGGAATAAGGGAGTTTTGTTTGTTCCCTGATATGCTCACAGGTGCTCCCCAAAAATGTTTATAAAACTTAGCTGTTGAACTAGTGAGGGAATGGGGGGAGGGGGAGGGGTTGTGAGGCCAGTGGGAGACTGGTCTCACCTGCTCACACCTGCTACCCAGCTTGGCTGGCCCCGACAACCCTCTCACTCTCCGGCTCACTCCCCACCAGGGACGGTTCCGATTTTCCCAGAGATCAAGTGGCTTCAGCCACTCAAAGCTCCTTCCACACAGGGGGGCGGCCACTGTTCTCTGCTCCTGCTTCCCCAACAGCATATCCTCTCAGCGACATGGGGCTTGTTGAAGTGACAGCCTGGGAAGGGGCAGAGCTGGGATCTGAGCCCAGGATGTGGGGGCACAGCCCCATGTAGAGCCCCGCGGAGGGTCCTGCAGCCCCAGGGCTGCTTGCTCACCCGCCCGGAGGCTGCTTCCTTGCCTGCCTCGACCTCCCCGGTGTTTTGGATGCAGGCTCTTTAGGTGCAGTCTCTGCCCAGGGTCTATCTGGCCACCCTGTGCTATCGGGCTGCTTGAGGAGGGGTGGGGTCTGGATGGGTGGGTCCAGGGCCCAGCCAGCTTCAGCAGGACCTACTGCTCAGATCCCATCTTCCTAATACTGGCGCGGTCACACACTGCTGGCTGCCCCGCCCGATGCTCCACCATTGCGTATTGGCCGGGACCATGCCGAAGCCTGCTGGGCCTGGGCTGCCTGCTGGGCGGCCTCACCTTGCACTTGCAGCAGAGCCACCACTCGGGTGCCCGCAGCCTCACAAGAATAGATGCCACTGTCGGAGGGCAAGGCTGGCCTGAAGGACAGCCTGGCCACGGTCCAGTCCTGCTCTATGATGACGCGACGCCCGTCGGCGCGCACCTCCTGCTCGTCCATCTTCCACGTGGCCTGCACCGGCCGCGAGTACTGGCAGAGGAGCTCGGCCGGGCCACCCTCCTCCACCGCCAGGTCTTGCATGGCACTGACCACCTCCACTGCGGGATCTGTCGGCCAACACGCCGGGCACGTGTAAGCCTGAGCCGTGTGACCAGCGCCTACCCCCCTCTGCGGTCAGCAGCAGCAGTTCATCGGCAAGCAAGCGAGGGGCTTCGGCAGGAAAGGAACTAGCCGTGGTGGCCCAGGTCCCTCACATACTGCAAGCCTTGCCTCTCCACACCCCACCCTCGGCAGACGCCTCTATCCCTCCTGACCCCTCTGACCTCCTAGGCCCTTTCCTCCCTGGCCCTGGGGAGCACGGGGCACCAGCAGGGACACAATGCCTCCTGAAAGTTCAGGCGCCCTCAGCATTTGCTGGGACCCAGCACCCCCATCCCAGCTTGTCCCTTTCTCAGGGGCCTTTCCACTCCTTTAGGGGGTGCCATCCATCTCCACCTGGAAAAATCCTGCTCAATACATGGGCTGCTCCTTGGACCTGGGGGCATGTCCATTCACTCTTCAACGGTGCAAACCCTTCTGCAAACACGCCGGGTGAAACCACACCAGCGGCCGTCCCAGGAGCACCCAACTGGGAGTGGACTGAGGGGCCCTTGGCATCCCACTGCCCTCCCCAAAGGCTAGCTCTGTCCCAAAAGAGCACAAGACCCCCAACCTAAACCACGGCGGTGTAAGCAGCCTCGAGCAGGGGTAGGACAGGCTGGGGCAAGGTGGGAAGGCTGCCCTCTGGGTATACGCCTGAGAAGGTGCAGCTGCAGAGTGGTGACCAGGTGGCACCAGCACCCAGGGTCCCACGAGCAGGTGGGCATGAAGTAGCCTTCCACACATGTGTGAGTGTCCACACATGGCACGTGTGGAGCAATGCCAGTCCCCAACCCCTGCCCCGGAGCCTGCAGGAAGCTTGCGGGAGCAACGATGGCAGAAGCATTAGTGCGGGCGGGGTCCCATTGGCTGGTACCTTTGACTAATAACTTGGCCGTGGAGACCAGGGGCCCTGCACGGAAGGTGACGGTGCCTGAGTCGGCAATCCCCAGGCCCGATAGCGTGAGGGAATGAACCGTCCCATCATGCACGCAGATGGCAGTCTGGGGGCTGTCCTGCAGCAGAGTCCCATCCAGCCACCAGCAGGCCTCAGGCCCACCCGCACAGGACACCTCACAGGAGAACGTGGCCACATCCCCCGCAAAGACGTCCACATTCTGCAAGCCACGTACCAGGCATGGTGCTGCCTCTGCACAAGAGGGCAATAGGAGGGCAGGCTGGGGTGCCCTGGGCCCACAGGACTATGTGGGGGGTATACACATTGGGGGATCCCTGGCACTGGGGATTAGAGATCAACTTGGGCCAACTATCCCACCCTGCTCACGGAATGATACATTCAAACCACTCACAGAGAGTGGACTCAGTGTCCCTGAACTCACACCCCGCTCCAGAATACATCTGTTTTCACAAAAATACACAGAAGGCAGACATGCACCCACAGCCTCTTCAACAATCAGAATGACAAGTCCCAAGCCACATGGCTATGAGGGGGGATGGGGAGGAGAGGCTGTGGGGCTGCCACTCTGAGAGGGTGGGGTCTGCCTCAGGTAGTAAGCCTTACATCCCTGCAGGTGTGGAAGCAGATGCTTCTTATATTCCCAGAAGGCCACATGGCCAGATGTCACCTGTGGTCCCCAGCCCTAAAATTCCACAGCCCTAATGCCCCTGGCAACTCCTTTCTGCCCCAGCACACAGCAGGCCCTAGTGCAGGGACTTCCCCACCGTGGCTGCTGCCTGATCTGTGCCCCCACACCTGCCCCAGCTAAGCCCTCCTCAGAAACCTCCCCAAGCCCTTCCTGGGCACGCACCACCACTCCAGCCTCTTCTGAGAGGGCACATCTGACAGTCCCTGACTGCTCCATCAGCTCTCCATTCCACTTCCAGCACTGTTCCTAAGCTGGTCCATGTAATACCTACCAGGACACCCCAGGGCATTTCCTTCCCCCGAGGACATGGCCAGGTGTCTGCACACAGGCCAGTAGGCACAGGCTGGGACTTGGCTGACAGGGGTCAAGGCACAACCCTCAGCAAGACCCATAAGTCCCAACCCATCTCCACGTCCCCCCTCACAACCAACCACCCTGATGAACCCACAAAGCCTTTTGTGGCCCAGCCAGATCACAATACCTGAGACACTGCCCCTCTCCCACCATTCAACTTGAGGCCTTTCCCACAGACCACAGAGTCTTTCCTCGCACCAGAGGCCACAGAACTCGCCATATCTGTTCACCCCTGAAGACCTGGGACATGCTTTGTCTCTAATGTGCAATTATCCCAGGGGATTGGGGATCCCTGATGGCAAAGCTGCACCTGGCCCCTCTGAAGATCTGAGACTTAGACAAAGGTCGAGGCTTAGAGCATTTGTTCAATGGATGGTAGATGGTGAATGGATGAATGGATAGGTGAACAAATGAATGGATGGGTTTATGGTAGCTATAATAGATGGAAGACAGATCAGTACTGGATGGATTGATGGTGGATGGATGGATAGATGGTGGATGGTGAATGGATGCTACATGTTGGATGAATGGATGAATGGATGAATGAATGATGAAGTATGGTGGATGGATGGATGGTGGGTGGGTGGATGAGGGATGAGTGGTGAATGGATGGTAGACAGTTGGTTAGATGAATGGGACTGGTGTGAGAACCAGGAGTAGAACAGCAGGAGAGGGATACTCAAGAATAACCAACTCTGCAGACAAGGTATAATCTAAGTTGAAGGTTCTTAAAATTCTGTTTGCATGCCTGAGGCCAACTACACTACACCCCAAAACTGTACACATGTCACAGGTATGCTATTGCATAATCACCTGGGAGCCTGTCAAGTATGCACATGTGTGTTAAGATGACCTGTGCCTTAGGAGTAGCTTTCACCTTAGGGCTCAATTCCCTGCTCCCATGGCCAGGCTCCCCACCTCCCTCCTACAGACAGCGTTAACCCCCACACAGGGACTCCACATGCACTCCAGAATCTACCAAGATGATCTTCACCAGCCCACCTCAGTGGGCTATCCAGTTCATGGCTTTGGCAGTCAGGGGTTGGAAAACTGCCACCCAGGGCAAGATAACTGCTGGAAGACCTGGGTTTCTGACCACACCACCCCCAACAGATCTTTGACTAGGGAGGGTCATGGAGACATCACCTTGCCAGGTGTGGGAGGGGGCTGCCCACCTGTGACCTTCAGCTGGGCCTCTGAGCTACATGAGCCCACCTGGAAACTGATGGTTCCAACATCCTCGAGGGTCACCTGTGGGAGTGGAGATGGGGTCTCAGCCTGGCAGCCTGTTCAGACAGTGTCTCCTGACACCTCCCTAGGCCAATCCAATGGGGTTGGAACCTTCTCCTCCCACGCTCCCGGGAGCATGTGGATGGAGGCAGGTCCCAGGGTCCCACCTTGTGTAGAGTGAGCGTGTGGAGAGTGCCTTGCTCCACTGTAATGTCATTCATTTCATTGGCCTGCAGGGGCACTCCTCCCAAGGCCCAGCGAACCTCCTGGCCAGAGGCCCTGGACAGCCGGCATCGGAAGTGGGCGTCCTGGCCCTCACTGAGCTGCACATCCTGCAGGGGCTCCAGAATGGTCACCTGGGGGGCTGCACCAAGGGAAGTGTGGCATCAGCCTCAGCAGCTGGGATGCTCCACTGTCAGGAGCACCTCCCAGTTCTGGAGGCTGCCCCCAGCACCCCACCCCACTTTCTGTAGATAAGCATACAGGGTACCACTCAACCCTGCGTCCCGAGCCACCTCAGAACCATCCATGCATGGGGCTAGTTCCCAATCCCCAAAGCAGGGATCCTTGCAGTCTGCCTGTCTCCCAACAGGGTCTCCACATTTGGGCTCCGAGTGTGTTGAGAGGGGCAGCCACCTCACCCACTCCCACGGACAGTGAGCTGGGCTGAGGACTTGTGGGGGCCCACGTGGAAGGAGTCTGTGCTTGAACTTCATGTCACACCCTTCAGCTGCAGCATGTGGTGTGGGCGCCCTGCACAGCCACCTCTGCCGCCTTGCTGCTTTGCAGCAACAGGCCCTGGAGGCACCCTGGGCAGCTGTGGCCCTTGCGCTCACACCTCACAGCTGAACTTCACCTCCCTGTCAGCCTGCACCTCCATGTCAACCAGGCCTCACACCATGGTTACCTCAGACTCTGGGGTGTGGGTGATGGGACCCTTTACCAGTCAGGCCTGAGCACCCAGGTGAACCTCTAACTCTCCCTCTTCCAGGAAGCCTTCCCGGATACTCTCACATGCTTGTCCTGTCCCCTCTATCTGCCTCACATAGCATTCATCACCTGATTTGCTACAAACAGAGACCCCTGGGGGCCAAGATGGGCTCAGGCATCTCTGTTAGGAGGAAGTAGGCAAGGGGCTGCTGAGTGGGGAGCTGCCTCTTTCCATCCCCACCCCGCGGTCAGCCCTGCCCTGGCTGGGACATCAGGAAGGCAAGACCTTCACACAGACAGGCAGGGGCTCAGAGAGGGCAGCCCAACTCAGGCTGTCCTACCTGCCGACTAGGGGCAGGAGGCAGGGCAGCATCCTGGGGCCACAGCCTCCCTTTTCCCTCTGTAGACAGGGGAGTGATGACGAAATGAGAAGAGAGAGCTTGTAACCCCAGGGGCCTGAGAGCCACCCTTGGGACAGCACCTGGAGAGAGGGGGTCACAGGGCAGCTATTAGGGAAGGGCTCACCTCTGACCTTGACAGAAGCCACGGTTTTCTGGCCACCCACCACACAGGCATACTGGCCCGAGTCCTTGGCTTCGACCCCGTGGATCAGCAGTTCACACGTGGTCCCCTGGTGACGAATCTCGTACTTGGAGCCAGTGTGCAGCTCCACACCCTCCTTGAGCCACTGCACACGGGCCCCAGGCTCCACCTCACTCAGTTGGCAGCACAGCCGGGCCAGGCTGCCCACCTCCTGCTCTGCGTCCTGCAGCTCAGCCTGGAACATGGGCCTGGGAGCTGGGGGACCCGAGAGGGACTTAGAAGTTCAGAGCAAGATACCCCACCCTCCTCCACAGGGTCTGAGGGTCCCGGGGAAGGCAGGGACCAGTGGGTAGCTCACCACGAACTGAGAGTCTGGCAGTGCTCTGTGCGTGGCCTGTGTCACAGGTGTAGTGTCCGGCGTCCTCCTGCTCTGCATCATGCACCAGCAGCTCTACGGTCACGCCCTCCTGAACCATCTGGTACTTGGCGCAGGGGAAGAGCTGCAGCAAGCCCTTGCGCCACTCCACACTGGCGCCTGCCCGGCTCAGCTCGCAGCACAGGCGTGCTGTCCCACCCTCATCCACCTCCTGAGCCTGCAGTTCCCGGAGGAACCGCACAGGTGCAGCTGTAGGAAGCGGGGAATGTAGGGTCAACCGAACATCAGGTCAGGTCCACCCACCAGCCCTGCCCGAGCCAGGGACCCTCAAATTGGACTGCAGCCCAGAGGGCTCCCCGAAGCATGCAGGGCCTGTGCAGAGGGCAGAGTCCATCTTGGGTCCCACCTGTGACGGTGACGGTGGCACTGGTGGCCTGGGAGCCACAGGTGCAGGTGTACTCGCCCGCATCTTCCCAGCGCAGGTCCCGCAGCACCAGCTCCACCAGGCAGCCCTGCTGCCGTGGCTCCCGGTGCCCGTCGGCCTGCACCTCCAGGCCACCCTTGCTCCAGACCACAGCCCTGGGCTCGCACAGCTCACATCGCAGGCTAGCCTCTGTGCCTTCCTCAGCCTGCAGGTTCTGCAAGGGCTCCCTGAATACCGATGGCGGGGCTGCGGGGTGGATGGGCAGAGGGGAGACAGGGTCAGTCTAGAGACCCAGTCAGAAGACAGGCCCCCCACACACCCAGTCAGGAGACAGCCAACCGCCCCCCCCACACCCAGCTAGGAGACAGGCCCCCCCACCCCCCACACACACACCCAGCTAGGAGACAGTCCCCTACACCAGTCAACCCTCCTGATAACCTAGGTCAGGCATGGCTCCCAGCTTCACCCCAGCTGTCTGGCTGCCCAATGGACCCATTGCCACATGTCCCAGGAGACTGGGGTAGGAATGGGCATCATGGATCTGGGTCCACTTCAAAGGAAAGGAGGGTCCATGGTGGGAGCTTCGGGAGAAGATCCGGATCTAACCAGGCGAATCTCATGCCAGCCTCCACCTTGGATGCCCATAAGCAGAGCTGTGTCCCATCAGGCAATCAAGGCCAGGGGGTCCCCTCAGAACCCTAACACAGGGCCATCCCTCAGATCCTGACTAGAGGATAGAAAGGAGAAAAGGTAAACAGATTAGGACAGGAAGACGGACAAGCTGGAATTCTATCTTTACCATGAAAATTGGCCTAGTGAGGTCATGTGGATGGAGATCAGTACCGAGACACCAGGACACTGGACAACAAAGTGATAGGAAAGCAGACAGCAAACAGAGGGAAATTGTTAAAGGCAGAGATGAGGGAGTGGCCATTGGTACCCAGTGTGGATGCAAAAGACAAGGAGAGGACTATGGAACCCAAATGAGGCTACATGGCCACAGACAACCTTTACCCTTGACAGTCAGTGTGGCCGACGTGCTCTCCTGCCCGCACACGCACGAGTACTCCCCGGCATCCGCCACCATGAGGCCACTGATCTCCAGCTCACACACGGCCCCATCCTGCCTCAGGCTGATTCTGTCCCCAGCTCTGAGGGTCTCCAGCCCTTTCCTCCACTCCACGGGGGCCACCTTGCTCAGTTCGCAGCTTAGTTTGGCTGTGCCCCCTTCCGTGGCCTCTTCCTTCCTCAGGATCTTTGTGAACTTCGCGGGCAGGGCTGGGGAGGGTCAGAGTGACACAGGGAACTTCAGACTGTCTGCAGGACTCTGTGTCCAGGACAAGGACACTCACAAGGACTACACAAACTGCTATTGGCCATCACATGAACTTCAGAACAAATGCACAGATGGTGACAGAGGCAAAAGGAACAAGAGGAACAGTAGACCCAAAAGACTACACATGGACATCGGAATCTCTGGATGGAGAGATGAAGCTGGGAGATGCTCGGGGTCCCCAGTTGGAGACATAAACATGGATGCTACAAGGGAGCAGGTGTTGACAGAGTAGAAATGTGCAGACACCAATCCACTGGTCCCTGAGGCCATATGCAGACTTTACCCTTGATGGTCAGTGTGGCCGACGTGCTCTCCTGCCCGCACACGCATGAGTACTCCCCAGCATCCGCCACCACGAGGCCACGGATCTCCAGCTCACACACGGCCCCATCCTGCCTCAGGCTGATTCTGTCCCCAGCTCTGAGAGTCTCCATCCCCTTCCTCCATTCCACGGGGGCCGTCTTGCTCAGCTCGGAGTGCAGTGTGGCTGTGGCTCCTTCCATGGCCTCTTCCTTCCTCAGACCCTTTGTGAACTTGGCGGGCAGGGCTGGGAGTCAGAAAGATATGGGCGCAATCACACATATGAACCATGGGTAAGACAAGACGTGGACAGCACAGAGGAGACATCAGACCCATGTGGACATGAGCTACATGCTGGGTGTTCCCAGTCACATTGTGCATGGTGGCGCCCTTCAACCAGCTGTGAACAGCAGGGCTGTGCCACTTTCATGGATGCCTCAGGCCACAGGCTTTGTATGAAACTGGTGGACAGGACCAGGATGACTGGAAAGACAGTGAAACAGATTCTGTGGGGAAATTTGGGGCAGGACATGACTGGATGGACCAGGTGACACAAACTCTGACAGGAAACAGAACAAAACCAGTGGTGACACAAGGGATGAGAAGTGGCCTACATGCTGGTTTCTCATGGTTTGCACAACAGCCCGGAAGGTGAAAGGGACTCTGTGGAATTATGGGAAGAAACGACACTGAGACAGCAGAGAACATGGAATGAGTGCAGGCAGATGTCATGAAGCGGGTAACTGAACACCAAAGCACAGCTCTGTTTGGCCACACACGGTCTTTACCCCTGATGGTCAGTGTGGCCGATGTCCTCTCCTGCCCGCACACGCACGAGTACTCCCCGGCATCCGCCACCACGAGGCCACGGATCTCCAGCTCACACACGGCCCCTTCCTGCCTCAGGCTGATTCTGTCCCCAGCTCTGAGGGTCTCCAGCCCCTTCCTCCACTCCACGGGGGCTGTCTTGCTCAGCTCACAGCGCAGTGTGGCTGTGCCCCCTTCCGTGGCCTCTTCCTTCCTCAGGATCTTTGTGAACTTCGCGGGCAGGGCTGGGGAGGGTCAGAGTGACACAGAGAACTTCAGACTGTCTGCAGGACTCTGTGTCCAGGACAAGGACACCCACAAGGACAACAGAAGCTGCAAAGGGCCACAGTGTCAATGAGAACGAATGCACAGATGGTGACAGAGGCAAATGGAACAAGAGGAACATTAGACACAAAGGACTACACATGGACATCAGGACCTCTGGACAGAGAGATGAAGCTGGGAGATGCTCAAGGACTCCAGTTGGAGACATAAACATGGATGCTACAAGGGAGCAGGTGTTGACAGAGTAGAAATGTGCAGACACCAAGCCACTGGTCCCTGAGGCCATATGCAGACTTTACCCTTGATGGTCAGTGTGGCCGACGTGCTCTCTTGCCCGCACACGCATGAGTACTCCCCGGCATCCGCCACCACGAGGCCGCGGATCTCCAGCTCACACACTGCCCCATCCTGCCTCAGGCTGATTCTGTCCCCAACTCTGAGGGTCTCGGGCCCCTTCCTCCACTCCACAGGGGCCTCCTTGCTCAGCTCGCAGTGCAGTGTGGCTGTGGCTCCTTCCATGGCCTCTTCCTTCCTCAGACTCTTCATGAACTTTGCGGGAAGGGCTGCAGAAGGTCACAGAGAACTTCAGACTGTCTGTGGGACTCTGTGTCCAAGACAAGGACACCCACAAGGACAACAGAAACTGCAAAGGGTCATAGTGTCAATGAGAACGAATGCACAGATGGTGACAGAGGCAAATGGAGGAGAGGAACAGAGGAGACAAAGGACGACACAAATATCAGGACATGAAATTGGCCACAGCGGGGAGATGCTCAAGGAGAAACCCTGCCCCGTAGTCCTACAGAGCAGAAGAAGATCTCTGCAGACACCAAGCTATTGGTCCACACGGTCTTTACCCCTGACGGTCAGCGTGGCCAGTGTGCTCTCCTGCCCGCACACGCATGAGTACTCCCCGGCATCTGCCACCAGGAGGTTGCGGATCTCCAGCTCACACATGGCCCCATCCTGCCTCAGGCTGATTCTGTCCCCAGCTCTGAGAGTCTCCATCCCCTTCCTCCATTCCACGGGGGCCGTCTTGCTCAGCTCGCAGCGCAGTGTAGCTGTGGCCCCTTCCATGGCCTCTTCCTTCCTCAGACCCTTTGTGAACTTGGCGGGCAGGGCTGGGAGTCAGAAAGATATGGGCACAATCACACATATGAGCCATGGGTAAGACAAGACGTGGACAGCACAGAGGAGACATAAGACCCATGTGGACATGAGCTACATGCTGGGTGTTCCCAGTCACATTGTGCATGGTGGCGCCCTTCAACCAGCTGTGAACAGCAGGGCTGTGCCACTTTCATGGATGCCTCAGGCCACAGGCTTTGTATGAAACTGGTGGACAGGACCAGGATGACTGGAAAGACAGTGAAACAGATTCTGTGGGGAAATTTGGGGCAGGACATGACTGGATGGACCAGGTGACACAAACTCTGACAGGAAACAGAACAAAACCAGTGGTGACATGAAATGATGAGGAGTGGCCTACATGCTGGTTTCTCGTGGTTGCACAATAGCCCGGAAGGTGGAAGGGACTCTGTGGAATTATGGGAAGCAAACAACACTGAGACAGCAGAGAACATGGAATGAGTGCAGGCAGATGTCATGAAACAAGGAGCCAGACACCAAAACAGGGCTCTGCTTGGCCACACACAGTCTTTACCCCTGATGGTCAGCATGGCCGACGTGCTCTCCTGCCCGCACACGCACGAGTACTCCCCGGCATCTGCCAACATCAGGCCACAAATTTCCAGCTCACACACGGCCCCTTCCTGCCTCAGGCTGACTCTGTCCCCTGCTCTGAGGGTCTCCAGCCCCTTCCTCCACTCCACGGGAGCGGCCTTGCTCAGCTCACAGCGCAGCATTACCACGGCCCCTTCTGTGGCCTCTTCCTTCCTCAGAATCTTTGTGAACTTCGCAGGCAGGGCTGGGGAGGGTCAGAATGACACAGGGAACTTCAGACTGCCTGTGGGACTCTGTGTCCAGGACAAGGACACTCACAAGGACCACACAAACTGCTATTGGCCATCACGTGAACTTGAGAACAAATGCACAGATGGTGACAAAGGCAAAGAGAAAAGAGGAACAGTAGACCCAAAAGACTACACATGGACATCGGAACCTCTGGACGGAGAGATGAAGCTGGGAGATGCTCGGGGTCCCCAGTTGGAGACATAAACATGGATGCTACAAGGGAGCAGGTGTTGACAGAGTAGAAATGTGCAGACACCAATCCACTGGTCCCTGAGGCCATATGCAGACTTTACCCTTGATGGTCAGTGTGGCCGACGTGCTCTCCTGCCCGCACACGCATGAGTACTCCCCGGCATCCGCCACCACGAGGCCACGGATCTCCAGCTCACACACGGCCCCATCCTGCCTCAGGCTGATTCTGTCCCCAGCTCTGAGAGTCTCCATCCCCTTCCTCCACTCCACGGGGGCTGTCTTGCTCAGCTCGCAGCGCAGTGTAGCTGTGGCCCCTTCCATGGCCTCTTCCTTTTTCAGACCCTTTGTGAACTTGGCGGGCAGGGCTGGGAGTCAGAAAGATATGGGCACAATCACACATATGAGCCATGGGTAAGACGTGGACAGCACAGAGGAGACATAAGACCCATGTGGACATGAGCTACATGCTGGGTGTGCCCAGTCACATTGTGCATGGTGGCGCCCTTCAACCAGCTGTGAACAGCAGGGCTGTGCCACTTTCATGGACGCCTCAGGCCACAGGCTTTATATGAAACTGGTGGACAGGGCTGGGAGGGCTGGAATGACAGTGAAACAGATTCTGTGGGGAAATTTGGGGCAGGACATGACTGGATGGACCAGGTGACACAGACTCTGACAGGAAACAGAACAAAACCAGTGGTGAAACGAGGGATGAAGAATGGCCTACATGCTGGTTTCTCGTGGTTGCACAACAGCCCGGAAGGTGGAAGGGACTCTGTGGAATTATGGGAAGCAAACGACACTGAGACAGCAGAGAACATGGAAAGAGTGCAGATAGATGTCATGAAACAAGTAACCGGACACCAAAATAGGGCTCTGTTTGGTCACAGTTGTTACCCTTGATGGTCAGTGTGGCCGACGTGCTCTCCTGCCCGCACACGCACGAGTACTCCCCGGCATCCACCACCATGAGGCCACGGACCTCAAGCTCACACACAGCCCCTTCCTGCCTCAGGCTGACTCTGTCCCCAGCTCTGAGGGTCTGAAGCCCCTTTCTCCACTCCACGGGTGCCTCCTTGCTCAACTCGCAGAGAAGTGTGGCTGTGGTCCCTTCGGTGGCCTCTTCATTTCTCAAATCCTTTGTGAACTTCGCAGGCAGAGCTAGGGAGGTCAGAAGGACCCAGAAAACATCAGACTGCCTGGGGAACTTGGGGGTTTGAACAAGACATGGACACTTGACATTGAAACACACTTTGGAGCAAACGTGGACTCATGAACACATGGACACAGTGGGGGGAAGTGGTGCCCATCCAGGTGGAGGCCAATGATGAGGAGGAGCTGAACCCCAGTGGCGAGGAGGAGCTGAACCTCAATGGATACGCAGACCATTGGATGCTCAGTGGGGACCTCTCACCAGGACAGACACAGGGAAATGGCCATAATTTCAATGGACAGGGACGGTGACCAGAAGGATGTAATCTGGAATCTTCTGTTACTTGTCCTGCCTCAGACTTCATTTGAGGTCAGAGTCAAGACCCCTCACTTGCCACACCAGGTTGCTGAGATAACACCGTAGCCATGGCCCACTCCACGGCTGGAGAAGGAGACGTGGAAAGGGCTGCCTACATCTCTCCCACGAGTTTGCATCCGCGCTCACTCCTCATCACCTCCTGTAGCTCTTGAGGCCAGAGCTGGACAGACCAGAGTAAGGAACACCCCGGCCAGGAAGGTCCATGAGCTTGTCACCCCAGTACCGGTGTCCTGGGAACCCCCACCCTAGTAGAAGCAGCTCTCTGGAGCCACCTGTAGCTTGTCACTGCAGATCCTGTGCTCTGGCTGTTGGGTGAGTGAAGCCCTCGGAGCCCATGCTCCTTTGGTCTCCCGGGAAGTCTGACTAGCACAAGGCACAGTGCGTCCCTGCTGGAGTTGCAGTGCTCTGTTCGTGCAGCCCAGTGAGTCATGGTGGTGGCTTCTCCCCCAAGGTTTGAACATCGTGCACATGATGGCCATTCAGAATCCTCTTCTTCGCTGTCCACCTTGTCTCTGAGCGGGTCTGGAGGCCCATGACTGGCGGCCCTCACACCTGCAGAGGAGCCCTTCCCTCTGCCCTTTCTGAGGCCCACCCTGCCCGGGCTCCTTCATCGATGTTGCTCTGTGGGTCCTCCTAGGACATCTGTCTCTGTCCATCTACTTGCCCTTCAGGAGGGGCCAGGACCTCAGGAGGGCCCCTGAAGACCCAGGCCCCTGAAGACCTGGACCCCCTGACCTGTCACCAGACTGCCAGCCATACATACCTCACTATGGCCGGGCCCGGTCCTGATTCCCCAACACTGAGGGTCTCAGGTCTGTTCCGTCACTTCATGGGGGAACCCTTCACAATTCACAGACATGTGCAGCACGGACATGGCACCTCCATGGCCATCTAAGGACCCAGGACTTTTGTGCATTGGGGGGTCAGGACTACGGAGGGTCAGATGGACACACAGACCATTGGATGCTGCAGTTTGCAGGCAAGAAACAGGCCACACATACCAAGCTGGCAACACAGGTACCTTTTGGAAGTGTGGCCCCAGGGTCACAGGCAAGACGCCCTTCACAGGGGCTGCTCTGATGAGAGGGGACACCCACCTGTTTTCTTTCTGGGGTGCCTACCATCTACCTAATCCATGGGCCAGCCCACCAACTCCAGCTGAGTGAGCCCCTACTCCAACCCTCAACGTGGGCTCTCAGTTAACTCGAGACCACCTGCCCACACCCAGCAAGCCCCCTGCTATTGCACCAGACCCACCACAACACAAGACGCAGCAGAGCCCAACCCAGAGAGGATGCCCACCTGCCCACTAGCCACAGAAACCAGTCACAGACCCTCCACTCTGGCATGGACCATCCCTTCCTGGCTAGGGCTGTGCTCTTCAACCCAGCCCTCCCTGTCCTTCCACCATTTCAGACCTCCCCTCCTCTCATCCTCCCACACCCACCTCATCATCTCCTCCCCACCCACACCCACCTCACCTCCTCCTCCCCTCCCACATCCACCTCACCTCCTCCTCCTCCCCTCCCACAGCCACCTCACCTCCTCCTTCTCCCCTCCCACAGCCACCTCACTTCCTCCTCCCCTCACACCCACCTCACCTCATCCTCAGTCTTCACACCCACACCACTACCTCACCCTCTACAGCTGCCTTACCTCCCATGGCGCCCAGTCTTAGACAGTGGACCCACATCACCTCTATGGCTCTGCCATGGCCAGTCATGCATGCTTGGCTTCCTCCCGGCATCTCTGCATCAAGGGCCACACTTAGATCTACTTCCTAATCCATGCTGGCATGGCCTCCTCAAGAGGACTGTATCCTGCCATTTGTGTTGTGCGGCTACACTCCCCTTGCCCCCGCTCCCTCCGTCCCCAGAGGTGACCCTGTGAAAGACCTTGTTTTCTGATCTGTATCCGGGAAGGCCTCACACAGCTATGTGCTAAGACTCCTGCTGCAGGATCGCCGGAGACACAGGAGGTGGAAAGGGATCTGCCCAAGCTCTCAGACACAGAGCCACTGTTTCATGTGGCCACACGTGGTCTTTACCCTTGACGGTCAGTGTGGCCGACGTCCTCTCCTGCCCACACACGCACGAGTACTCCCCGGCATCCGCCACCACGAGGCCACGGATCTCCAGCTCACACACGGCCCCTTCCTGCCTCAGGCTGACTCTGTCCCCAGCTCTGAGGGTCTCCAGCCCCTTCCTCCACTCCACGGGGGCCGCCTTGTTCAGCTCGCAGCGCAGTGTGGCTGTGGCCCCTTCCGTGGCCTCCTTGCTTCTCAGTCTTCCTATGAACTCGGCAGGCAGGACTGTGGAGGCCAAACAGACACAGAACATTAGATTCTGTGAAGAGCTTTGGAGCAGGACCTAACAGGACAGAGGACTTGACGCAGACACTGACAGGAAACAGGACAAAACCATCAGTGACACAGCAGCGAGAAGTGGCCTAGGTGCAGGTTTCTCGTGGTTTGCACAACGCCGGAAGGTGGAAGGGATTCTGTGGAATGATGGGAAGCAAACGACACTGAGACAGCAGAGAACATGGAATGCGTGCAGGCAGACGTCATGAAGAGAGTAATCGGACAGCAAAGCACAGCTCTGCGTGGCCACACACGGTCTTTACCTTTGACGGTCAGTGTGGCCGACGTCCTCTCCTGCCCACACACGCACGAGTACTCCCCGGCATCCGCCACCACGAGGCCACGGATCTCCAGCTCACACACGGCCCCTTCCTGCCTCAGGCTGACTCTGTCCCCAGCTCTGAGGGTCTCGGGCCCCTTCCTCCACTCCACGGGGGCCTCCTTGCTCAGCTCGCAGCGCAGCGTTACCACGGCCCCTTCCGTGGCCTCCTTGCTCCTCAGTCTTCCTATGAACTCGGCAGGCAGGGCTGTGGAGGGTCAGAGACAGAGAAGCTCATCCTCATCCTCCTACCGGGGACGAAGGATACCAACGGGGCTGCACGGGCAGGGCAGGGGCACGCGTACCCTTCACGGTGAGCGTGGCTGAGGTTGTCTGGTCCCCGAAGCAACAGACGTACTGCCCGCTGTCGCCGGGCTGCAAGTCCCGGACCACCAGCTCCAGCAAGGTGCCCTCCTGCCGCATCCTGTACTTGCCTCCCGGCCGCAGGACCTCATCTCTGCAGCGCCACTCCACGGGCGCGGCCACCGAGGACAGCTGGCAGCGCAGGGTGGCAGCACCGCCCTCCAGCACCTCCGCGTCCTTCAGGCCCTCCCGGAAGTGCACCGGCCGCGCTGTGGAAGGCGCAGGCTCAGCTTGTCCTCGCTCCCGCATGCACCCGGGGCTCCCCCACAGTTGAGGAGGGCTGCAGGGACCGGCAGGGTGCGGGGGGCCCACCCCACCCTTCTACACCAGGGGCTAGTGCCGGGGACCCTCCAGGAGGAGGAGCCAAACCAAAGAGCACAGAAGGGTGGGGTGTCATGAGCTGCATTGTGCCCCCCTTCACTCATGGGAGCCCCAACCCCAGGACCTCAGATGGTTCTTGCATTGGGAAGCCGAGCCTTTAAAGACGTGATGAAGGTGAAGTGAGATCACCAGAATGGGCTCTAATCCCATGTGACTGGCATCATTATAAGAAGAAGAGATCAGGACACAGACACAGAGGGACAGCCCAGGGAGGACACAGGAGGAGGTGGCCACCCACACAGCAAGGACAGAGGCGTCCAGGGGACCAGCCCTGCCCACACCTGGGTCCCAGACATCCAGGCTCCAGGCCTGGGAGAGAGAAATGACAGGTGTTTGAGCTGCCATGTCTGTGGTATTTGTTACACAGCCCAGGCTGGTGGAGATAAGTCAGGCCCGGAGGAGGGAGGAGAGATGTCAGAAGACAAGGCAAAGTGAGGAATAAAGTACAAAAGATACTGGCAGTCAGGAGACCAGCAGAGGGTGAGAAAGGTTCTCTCAGCAGCAGAGACCCAGACCCAGAGATGGGGAGAAGCAGTGAGGGGAGGATGAGCTGTGGAGAGACAGAGCCAGACAAAGCACAACACCGTCCCCCCCGCCCCCCCCCCCCCACACACACACATACACACAGACACCGAGAGGGCAAAGACAGAGAGGGGAGGAGCTGGGTGAAGTCTGGGGCCACCCCTGCCCTGAACAAGATGAGAGCTGTGGGCACAGAGCATGCCTGGAAGCTGCCTGGTCCTTCCTGCCTGAGGGCTCACCGTGGACCCTGACGATGGAGCTGCTCCAGGCACCTGCGGCCTCACACTTGTAGCGCCCGCCATCCTGCAGGGTGGTGCCCGTGATGACCAGCTGGGCTCGGTGGCCCTCACGGCTCAGCTGGCACCGGGCCGACCCCCGCAGGGTTTTCCCATCCTTGGTCCAATGCACAGGGCTGTCCGGGACAGTGGTCTCGCAGACCAGGGTCAGATCCTCCCCCTCCATGATTATGGCATCCGTGAGCTCCTGGGAGAAGACACTTGGCTTCTCTGGGGACAGAAGGGGAAGTACAGGGCACATGGGGGCTCCTGCAGGAGAAGCTCCAGGTGTCGCTGCAGCCCAGGGGACACCCCAGGTCAGTACCCATCTATCCACCTCAGCCTGGCGGCACAGACAGGCCGGCCTCTGCATGGCTCCCCACACGCCAGGGGCATGGCCAGGCCTGTGCCACGCTGACTATGGAATCAGCTCTGCATCTGGAAACAGCCACTCCCAGCTTCCCCAGCCCACCCTGGGACCCAAGGCCCAGCCCACAGCACCTGCTCTCCGAGCCCCGGGATCACACTGCATCCCGAGCCACACGGATGGTCCCCACCACAGCCCTGGCATGCAGCCCACCTGTGACCCGCAGGGTGGCCGAGGACCGCTGGTCGCCCGCTTCGAAGTAGACAGTGCCCGAGTCTTTGAGCCCAAGCTCCCGCAGGGTGAGCACGTGGTAGCCACCCGGTTGGGTCTCAATCCCGTTGAGCTCATTGGGGTGCAGAGGCGTTTTGTCCAGGAACCAGTAGACAGGCTCGTAGTCAGCAGGGGAGACACGGCAGCTGAAGGTGACTGAGGAGCCCTCCTGCACCTCAGCGTCCTTCAGGTCCTCTGTGATGAGCACTCTCTGACCTGAGGGACAGAGGGGACACATAAGGACCCCACCAAGGGAGACGAGGTGCTCTCCCAGACCTGTAACAGGATCAGGATGATGAAAACTGAGAAACAGCAAGGAAGTCAGAGCTAAACTGACCAGGCCCACGGACATGCCCCTGTCCCCCTCGGTCCTTCTGTGGAACATGAGAGTGACTCACGATAGCCACTCCACAGCTGTGCTTCCCAGCTCGTCCCTGCCAGTGCACCTGTCCCCAGAGTCACGTAATGAAACCAAATCTTGTATTAACAGAAGACATCAGAGTGTGAAAAAAGACATGTGCCTATGTGAAATTTAAATCCAATGCTCAATGCTCTGGAGATCTGACAACATGAATTGCTAGGAAAATTTTTCCCCCCTGCCAACTTAGGTCAGGGACACTTAGAAAAAGTTAAACACGAAAATGGGTGTAAAACAGATTTCTCCATATTCACGGGTGATTTGAAGATGCCATATGCCGGGCACCAGGCACTAGACACCAAACACAAGACACTGGATGGACCCTGTGCACAAGGCACTGGAAAGGACAATTGGTGCATCCAGGGGTGACTGGTCAGAGAAAAACAGTTTTGAAGACTGACACTGAGAGAAAAGGCATTGGCCACCAAATGAGCTCTTGAGAGTGTTTTTTGCTTTTAATCCTCACATGAGGATGCCTGAGGTATTTTTTCCACTGATTTTCAGAAGAGTGAGAGGGAGGAAAGGAGGGAAGGAAGGAGGAACGGACCCTGGATGCTGGCCCCGGGATCCGGAAGGTCAGATGCCCGGATGCCAACACGCCCAACAACCCTGGCCCAGCCTCTGACGGTATGTAAAGCATCAGCTTCTTTATCTGTGAGATGGAGACAAGGATGACCCTCAGCCTGCCTGCCAGCTACAAACTGTTCCTCAAACCTGGAGACCTCCATGTTCAGAAGCGGTCCATCTGTGTGCAAATACACGGGAGCTCACGCACCCAGGAGGAGCTCCAGAGACACAAATGCAGTAATAAATGAGGACTGCTAACTCATTCGCACAAAGTCCAGCTGGGAGGCCACAGAGATGAGCCACCCAAGGCAGCCCCTCCAGGAGATGGGGAACCAAGGCTGGGCTGGTCCCAGGCCTCGGAGGCAGTTTCACACAAGGCTTGCACCGGCCACATCACAGGTCGTGAAATCCGTGCAACGCGCCAGCCTCACCTTGCACCGCGAGCCGAGCCTGGGACCTTGCCTGGCCAATGTCGCAGGAGTACGTGTCGCTGTCTGCCTTCTCCAGGGCACTGATGGTGAGCCTCAAGGTCACGCCCTCCTGGCTGGGTGCATGCTTCCTCGAGGCGCGCAGCTCAGAGAGGCCCTTTCTCCAGGTCACCGTGGCTGCAGGGCGCTCGGTCTTGCAGGTAAACACAGCCACGCCTTTTTCCTCCACCTGCAGGTCAGCCAGCTCCTCGGTGAACCGGTTTGGCTTTTCTGGGGGCAGAAATAAGAAGGGGGGGTGGTGTGTGTGAGGCCTACAGACCCCTCAGGGCATGGGCAGTTCTTCAGGGACTGGGCTGAGCCCTTTCCCTCTCCACTTTGGACAGCACAGCGGAGGCGCCGAGGGAGTGGCCCCATGACACACGGAGGGGGGGAGGCCCTGGGCGCAGCCTCAGCGTTTCTGGCGGGGTTACCTTCCACGCGGAGCCTGGCTGTGCTCGTGGAGACCTCCGTCTCACACGTGTATTCTCCGGAATCTTTGAGCGAGGCCGCATGGACGACCAGCACGGCCCGCGTGCCCTCGCTGAGCAGGTCATACTTCTGACTCTTGCGAATGACTTTCCCGTCCTTCAGCCAGCGCACCGGGGAGTCCCCCCGTGACAGCTCACAGCTCAGCGTCGCATCCTCCCCCACCACCGCCCGCTGGTCTTCCAAAGGCTTCGTGATGTCCGCCGGCCTTTCTGAAGGAACAAGAGGCAGCCCGTGAGGCCGGGCCATAGCCACGGCAGAGACGATGGCAGGGCTGGTGTTTGGAAACCTTCAGGCTCTGGAGGCCACGCCCGCAGACAAAGAGCCTGAAATTCTAGGACATCAAACCCAGGAGCCCCGGAGCCTTGGAATGCCAGGAGTCCCCACCATGACAGGGAGGCCCTTTGCGGGGAGATAGGAGAGCACAGGTGCTCTGGGCATTGTTCAGAGCCCGTGACACCGCGTAGCCATGGCTGGAGCCCGCTGTGAACCAGGCTTCACCGATCTGCACCAGCGTTTTTGCTGGGAGCACGAGCTCGGTGAGTTTCACTGGCTCAGTGACCATGTGCCCCGGAGCTACCACAGCCATCGGACCATGGATGCGAGACCAGAAGCCCTGCTCCTGCCCCTAGATGACCAGAAACCCCGCATCCTGATTGGAGTTCTGGGCCCCCAATGGTGGCTGAGGGGGATAGTCCCTTCCCTCTTCTCCCCCCCCCCCCATTTCCACCCCCCTTCTGGAAAGCTGCCCAGCCGAAGGCTCCCACTCCAGGCTGCCTGGAGAGTGGCCCAGTCCGCCCAGTGCGTGGTGCCCACCTCGGACGAGGAGCGAGGCCTTGGAGGTGAGGCCGCGCACAGAGAAGACCACCTCCCCGGAGTCGCTCGGCAGCGCCTCTCGCACGGCCAGGGTGTACTTCCGGCCCTGGCGGGCAGCCCGGAAGCGGTCTGAGCCGCCCACTGTCTTCCCGCCAACGGTCCAGGTGGCAGTGTCACCCGTGTCCTCATGGGACAGGATGCACTCGAAGATGCAGCTCTCACCCTCGAGCACCTCCACGTTCTTCAGCCTCTTGGTGATGCCCACGTGCAGGTCTGTGAACCACGGGAGGCAGCGGTCACTCTGGCCAGGCCCCAGATGCCTGCCCCTCAGGCCAGCATCATTGAGCCCCGTAATGATCCAGAGGCTCCAATACCCACCCCACCCCCCAGCCGACTCTGCTGCCCCTCAGCCAATGCCCCCTTGGCCCCCAGCTGGCCACACCCTGGTGTTTGGATGGCCAATAGCTATGAGCTCTGACCAGGGCACAGCCTCCCTGCTACAGAACAAGGGGCAGAGAACAGAGCATCGGTTTTCAGTAGCTCACGAGCTCTGGAAGAGAAAGGACAGGCGCCCCGAGTGAAGGAGCCGTCTAGCTCTGGGACAAACCCATGGCATCACCCTCCCCCCTTTCCTGTCTCATCTCAAAACCCACCGGATGTCAGGCTCTCTCCACGGGGTCACGGAGAACAGGCCTGTTATGCATGTGGAAGGGGAACAAGACTACCGGAGCTGAGCCAAGATAGCGACCACCTGGTTGGGGAAGAAGTTCCAGGGCATCCCCGCCGGATACCCTGGCCTCTCCTGCTTCCCACCTCCAAGAGGCTCCGGTGACTGGCTTCACCCTGCCCACACACATCACCTGGCGCACAGGGAATGTCTCCAGGTCCCTGTTGGAAACCGAGCTCTGCGGGACTCCATCAGGCACGGCTTAGCCCGCTTCACTCCGTTGCTATAGTCCCCGCTCACCTGCCTGCATCAGGGCCTCCTAAGGATCACGTCAAGCCCGCCCATTCTGAGTTCTGAGCTTGCCTGACCTCCCCTGGCTCAGTGCAACAGCCTGGGCTTGAGTGGGCGGAGCCTCAGTGAGTGGCCACGCCTTCTATACCAGGCCACGCCCCCTGCTCGGCCGCACCCACGCACCGTGCACACTGACATGCGCGCAGGTCTCCTCGGCGCCCAAGTGGCAGGTGTACAGGCCCGCGTCGTCCAGGCTCAGGTCGTGGACCACCAGCCCACGCGTGCCCGCCGTGTGCAGGAAGTCGTACTTGTCGCTGGGGCCCAGCTCCACGCCGTCCTTGCGCCACACCACGCCCGCCTGGGGGTCGGAGACCTCGCACTGCAGGGTCAGGGCGCTCTGCTCCACAGCCGACACGTCGTCCAGCGCCTTCAGGAACACCGCCGGCTTCGCTGCAGGACCAGGTGTCAGGAGGTGAGCGAAGGAGCTGCTGCCTCACCAGCGGAGACCCCCGGGGGGCCTCCCACAGACACCCCTTCCCCCCGCAGGCCGCCTCACCTCTGACCTCCAGGCGGGCAGTGGCCGTCACCTTGGGGGAGGAGACGCGCACGGTGCCCGCGTCCCCCCGCCTGACCCGCTTCAGCACCAGCGTGTGGCGGCGGCCCTCGTGGGAGATGTCGTGGAAGCTGTCGTTGTAGAGGGGCGTCCCGTTGAGCGACCACTCCACCTCCTCATCCTCGTGGGAGAGCTCGCAGGAGAAGCAGGCGCGGCCCTCCTCCGCGGCCTCCGCGTCCTGCAGCGGCTGCGTCACCGTCACCTCCCGCGCTGCAGAGGGCACATGGAGGCTCAGTGCCCGGCCCCGCCGCCCCCGGGCCCCTCGGGGCGGCCCTGCACCCCCGCCCCCCGCGCACCTTCCACGGTGACCTGGGCGCAGCTCTGGGCGTTGCCGGCCTGGCACCGGTAGACGCCGGCATCGGCGGGCGTGAGCCGCAGCACGCGCAGCTCCGCCATGTGGCCCTCCAGGCGCATCCTGAACTTGTCCGAGGCCACCAGCGGCGTGTCCTCCTTGTACCACTGCACGGCCTTGGGCGGCGGCTTGAAGTCGCAGGACAGCACCACGGACTGCAGCTCGCGGCCCGCTTTGGGCTCCAGCGGCCTCGTCAGCACCACGGGGATGTCTGCGCGGAGGGAGGAGAGAGCGCGCGGCGCTGGGGCGGGCCGAGCCAGCGGAGCCCGGGACACCGCCGTCCGCTAGGGGCCTCTCCTGTGCCCGGGGGCTGGGCCGCGCGCCCACCTGAGACCACCAGCTGGGCGGTGGTGCGCGACTTGCCGATGGTGAAGTGCACCGGCCCGGTCATGGTGGAGCAGGTGCGCCGCAGCGCCAGCCGGTGCACCGTGCCTTCCTGCTCTATGCCCACGTCCTTCCCCGCCTGCAGCGGCGTCTTCCCCAGCAGCCACTTGGGCGGCCGCACTGAGGGGATGGAGGTCTCGCACTCGAACCAGGCGGGGGCGGGCTCCATAACCGTCACGTCCTGCAGGCCCCGCACGATGGTGATGGATTGCTCTGTGGGAGAGAGGCAGCAGCATCTGCAGGAGGAGCGCCCCCGCCTGTGCTCCTTCCTGGGAACAAACCCTCCCTCCAAACACACCGTGCTCACATCCTCTCCCCTCCACCCCCCCCCCCCGCCACCCCCCCCTTCCCTCCAGACAGGCCCTTCTCAGACCCGGCTGCCTCCAGGCATCAGGGCCAATGCCAGAGGACAGCTGCCCACAACCCCGCCCACACCTTCCACGAAGAACTGGGCAGAGGTCTTCACATCGCCGGCGTCGCAGGTATAGGTGTCCTCGTCCTCCGGCTGCACGTCGCTGATGACCAGCTTGCGGTAGAGGCCATCGCTGACCATCTCGTACTTGGGCCCGGCCCGCAGTTCCACGCCGCCCTTGAACCACCGCACCTGGGCGCTGGCCCGAGACATCTGGCACTCAAGCACCCCGCGGTGCCTCTCCATGGCGATCTTGTCCCGCAGGGGGCGCAGAATGGTCACTGGCAGTTCTGTGGGCGAGCAGGGAGGGGTCAGGAGGGTGTCCCCTTAGGTCTGACCCCTTCCGTACAATTGCCTTGAAGAAAGTAGGTGCACCCACGCCTACCTTCCACCCTTCCCTCCTCTTGCCGTGCCCCTCCTGCTGCCCCCCTTGCCCTCTCCTGCACATCCATGGCCCCGTGTGATCACCTCACCTGCCCACAGACTATCCCGCCCTCCCTCAGGCCTGGCCGCCGCCCTCTCCTGTCATCAAGGCCACCAGGGCCTCCTCTCCAGCACCTGCTGCAGCCCGGGAGAGAGAACTCGCTGACATCTCTATGTCAAACAAGAAGGGCTGCTTCTCGGACCCCTGTCCTCCTGCAGCGGGGGCAACACCCTCTTTGCCTCCTCCTGGGTCACCCCGTCCTGTCCTGAGAGGAGGGGGGGGGCTGCCCCAGTCCCGTGTCAGGACAGCTGGCACAGCACCCGTCTATGTTCTCACTTGGGCAGCCCTCACCTCTCACTCGGAGCTGGGCTCGAGATTCTGCATTTTCGGCTACAAACCGGATTTCTCCTGCTTCTTCCACCAGGACCCTCCGGAAGATGAGCGTGTGTGTCCTTCCTGGGAACACGGACCGCTCAGCACCGGGGGAGGAGCACGGGGTGGGGGGGTGGGGGGTGGGAAGAGGCCCTCCCACAGCCACCGCCCTGGCTGTCACACCTTCCTGGCGCATGCGCACGTTGTCACTGGACCGGAGCTTACTGCCCACCCGGAACCACTGAGCAGACACGTCGTCATGGGAGACCTCGCAGGAGAAGGTGGCGCTCTCCTTCTCCATCACCTCCACGTCCTCCAGGGGCCTCAGGATCTGGATGTTGCGTCCTGCGGCAGCGAGGGAGGCCCTGCTACACTGCAGCACTGTGCTGCCTGCTTCCCCCACCCCCCGCAGCTTACTGAGTGCCAGAGGGGTGGCACCTCAATGGGGGATCCAGGGGGCAAGGAGGTCCTGCACCTGGCCTTGACCCCCCACACTGCCCAGGTCTCACCTTGCACCTTCAGGGATGCCGAGGTCTGAGCCTCGTGGGCGTCACACACATACACGCCCTGGTCCCCAGAGGCACACTGGTAAATGATGAGAGTCCGGCAGGTGCCCTTGGCTGCCATACCCACTGTCTTGCCAGCCTGCAGCTCCACGCCATCCTGTGGGAGTACAAAACCCGGTCAGGCGCTGGGCGTGGCCCTCGTGGTGAGGAGTAGGATGGAGCAGAAGCGTCCAGGGACAGAGGCACCTTCAGCCAGCGCACGTCCACATTGGGGCGTGACAGCTCACACTCCAGGGTCACTCTGTCTTTCTCTGTGGCCACCACGTCCTGCAGTGGGCGGCTGAACCTCACAGGCAGCTCTGGGGAGGCAGAAGGAGATGAGAGAGGCAGGTGGAGCGGTGGAGGGGGGCTGAGCTGGACCAAATCACTCAGCTGGTTCTAGGAATGAGTGCCCTCCTCCCGACCCCCAGGATTCCACAGCCGGTCCCCACCTGCCTCCCCTCCGAGACAGGGACCAGGCAGTCTCGAGTGGGTCTCGCCCCCCCCCCCCCACGCACCCGTTACCACCAGCCGCGCCGATGTGTGCACGCCTTGAGCCTTGAAGGCAATGAGACCCCCATCCTGTGGCCGCAGCTCCGACAGCGTGAGGGTGTGAACGGGGCCTTGCACTGCCAGCTGGCACGTGGGCCCCGGCTGTAGCCGAAGCCCGTCACGGGTCCAGCTGCCCTCTACGTCGGCGTGGGACAGCTCCACCTCCATGGCGGTGGAGCCCTGCTCCTGCACCTCCACCGCGTGCAGGCCCCGCAGGAGCTGCACCTGGCGCACTGCGGAGACAGGAGGAAGGGTGTGCCCCTGCACCGAGAACCGCCCTCCTGCTCCTTCCCAGGGGCCTCGGCTCAGCGTGCTGCCCCGGAGGGGGAGGCCCACTCCCGCCCACAGGAGGAGAGTTTCCCTCCCTGGAGGCCCACTTCATCCCCAGCCATACGACTCCTCCCCCTGCTAACCCTCCTTTTCCATCCCCTTCCCAGGGCCAGGTCCCCAGTGGGAAACTCACTCCTCTTCATCCCTCCTCCTGCCCTCCCCTCTCCTGGGTGCCAGACCCCAGACCCAGCTGCCCTGTGGCTCACTTTGTACTGTGAGCTTGGCCTGTGTCTTGTCATCTGGCGTCTCACAGCCGTAGAAGCCGCGGTCGGCGAAGCCCACGCTGCGGAGGACCAGGCGGTGACTGGCGCCCTCCGCGTGGATCGCCACGTTCTCGCTTGGGGATAGGGCCGCGGCATTGCGCGTCCACTTGACATCCGGCCAAGGCCTGGTCAGCTCTACCGCCAGGGTCACGGAGCCCCACTCCTCCACTGTCTGCGGCTCCAGCTTCTTCTTGAACAGCACGGGAGCCTCTGGGGTCAGGGAAAGGGCAGTCACACAGCCACTGCCTCTCAGGAACACGCGGCACAGAGGGCCCCTGCCCAACCCGGCCCCCAGCGGCAGAGCGGGGCCCCGACCGCATGCTGACTCCATGCCAGGCGAGGCTTGAGCAGTCCTCAGGGTCCAGCTGCACAGTATCCTTCCGTGGGGGGAATGGAGACTACAGAGGCCTCACCTTTCTCACCCCCTCCCACCGCTGGTCCCCTGCTCTGAACAGCCCTGCCAGGCTCCCGTGTCTGGAGCTCCTGCGTGTGGTGACCAGTAGCCTCTGGGCACGGAGCTGGTGAGACAGGCCCAGAGTCCTCCCCTCCCCCAGACCAGTAGAATTAGCATCTCCACCCCATTGGAGCCCTGGGAGCCAGAACGTTAAGGGAGAGAAACACGCTGGAGTGGACCTCCCTGTCGCACATGGTGCCATGACCTCCCCAGAAAGCGCATCTGCCCACATTGCTCTTACTATGACCTGCGAAGGCTCCCACCTGTCCTCGGGGGAGGGCTGCTCTCACTGACAATCTGGCTTCCTGGAGCAAAACTCCTCCCCTCCGGCCTCAGCCTGCCCTGGCTGCCAACCCCACTGTCTCCCTCTCACTACCCATGGGCTCCTGTGGATCCTTCCGGACCAGGGGCACACACAGCGCGCCAGCTGACTCTTCTAAAGGAGGTGCCAACCTTCCATCCCACCCCAGCTTCTCTGTGCAAACCCCGTGCTCCCTGAGATGGGCCAGGGCAGCAGGATGCCAGCCCACCCGTGAGGGGCCCACACTCCCACCCACCCCCCTGCCCCCGCACCCCCCTACTCCCGCACCTCGTACGCGGAGGGCAGCGGAGGATGTGACCCCCTCAGCCTCGGCGCTGATCTGGCCGGCGTCCTCCAGGACCAGCCCCGAGATGGTGAGGCTGTGGCAGGCGCCGCTCTGCGCCACCCGAAGCCGCTCGCTGGGCTGCAGCTGGGCGCCGTCCCGGAACCACAGCACCGCCACGTCGCCGGGGCTCACCACGCACTGGAAGGTGGCCTCCTGGCCCTCCTCCGCCACCACGGCGCTCAGGCCTGACGTGAACTTGACTTCGCGGGGGACTATGGACAGAGCCCCGCTTGAGAAGTTGGTGGGAGCAGCAGCGAGGCCCCACTGGCAGGCGCCCCGGAAGAGCACCTTCTCCGTGAAGCCCCGGAACGCCCAGCCCCGCGCCCCGCGCCCCGCGCCCCGCGCCCCGCGCCCCGCGCCCCGCGCCCCGCGCCCCGCGCCCCGCGCCCCGCGCCCCGCGCCCCGCGCCCCGCGCCCCGCGCCCCGCGCCCCGCGCCCCGCGCCCCGCGCCCCGCGCCCGCCCTGGTGCGTACCGCGGACGGAGAGCCTGGCGCTGGTGCGGTCGTCGCGGCTCTCGCACACGTACTCGCCCGCATCCTCCGCCCGCAGGCCGGACACCGTGAGGGAGCGCCGGGGCCCCTCGGCCGCCATCTGGAAGCGCTTGCCCTCCCGCAGCTGCGTGCTCCCGCAGCGCCACACCACCTCGGCCTGCGCCGGGCTCAGCTCGCAGGCCAGCGTCACCGTGCCGCCCAGCTCCCCGCTCACCGGCTCCAGGGGCTGGCAGAACCTGGCGGCCACCTCTGCGGAAGGGAAGGAGTCAGCCCGGAGGCCCCCTCTGAGCTTTCGTGCGCCCCGAGGCCCACTGGTACCCACTCCCGGACACCGCCCTCGGGGTTCGCAGGGACCGCGCCGCCCGCTGACCTTCCACCTGCACCGGGAAGTCCTGCGCCGCGGCGCCCACGCGGCAGCTGTACACCGCGCTGTCCAGAGTCTGCGCGCCCCGCACCGTCAGCGTGTGCGTGTCCCCCAGGCTGGCCATCTGGTGCCGCTTGCTGCGCCGGATCTCCACGCCGTCCTTGAGCCACGTCACCGCAGCCACGGAGGGCGCGGCCATCGTGGCGGTCAGGACGATGTCCTCGTGCTCTTTGACCACCACTAGCCCCCTGCGGTCGGGTCTCTCTGGGGCTGGGGGCTCAGGCTCTGGCTCTGGGGTGCAGCGAGGAGGAGCGGGAGGATTAGTCATCAAGAAAGGGGGGACCCTGCTTCCCTGGCCTGGTCCCTGCCTCCTTCCGGCCATTCCAAGGGAGAAGACCTGAAGTGGGACTGGCCCAAGCTCCAACTGCTATGCGATGCCTTGCTCACCCAGGGCTTGGCTGCTGCTTCCACTGAGCAGACCCAAGAGGGAATGCCTCGGAGCGCTTCACCCCGATGGCCACCATCCAGGCTCTCAGGGCCATGAAGAGCGGCCAAGAGGAGCCCCCTGCAGGGGACTGCAGGCCTGGAGCCACAAGCTCTAACCAGGAGCCTAGAGGCATGAATGGCTGCCCTCCAGGGAGCCTGGGCCCAGGACAAAGGCTGCCAGGCTGAAACAGCCTGAGTGCCTCCGCATGTGGCGGGGAGTGCGCAGCAGCACCAAAGGGGGAAGGGGAAAGCCCCAGAAGGTGCCCAAGTGGGTCCTCTAAGAGCCCACCCAGGGCAGCACCTGAAGACATGCTGGCTGTACGATGGCACCACACCTGGGCACAGGGCTGTGCCCGCCAGCTCAAGACAAACACCTGCAGCAGGACTCTGAAACCCAGCGGGGGCTGTAAGGGACAGGAAGCACACCAGCAGGACCAGGACCAGCCCAGGATGTGCCCCAGGGGAGGCCAGATCCCGGGATTGACCTAACAATTTCTGGACAATTAGGAGCCCAAGGCCAGAGGTAGGGACCCAGACGCCAGTGTGGAAAAAGGCATCCAAAGCCAGAGGCCCCTCTGCTGAGGGTCCCCAGAGCGAGGCTGGACTCCATCATTGCAAAGGGGGACTGAAAACAGCCCTTAAGAGTCTGCAGACGCCTCCATGAGAGGTTCCATTCTAGGGAGGGTGAGGAGGTGACAAAGAGGAGCAAAAACCTGGGACAAAAGATGTCCAGAATGCCTTGCACTAGGGGCTTCAGCCCATGTCCTCAGTCACAACAGGACGGTAGAGGACATAAGCCTGAGGCAGGGCATGTCCACAGAAACCACAACAGGTGCAACCACACCAACAGTCCTTGCACAGCCTTTCAAGACATTGCCTGTCACTGATCGGCCAGGTACCTGTCCTCTCTGCCCAGGGAGGCAGGCGGGACCCACCTGGGACATCTAGACGAAATGTGACCTTCTGGCCCCCGGCCTCGCAGCTGTACTCCCCGCTGTCCCCCTTGGCCGCCTGCTGCAGCACCAGCCGCCGGGTGCAGCCCGTGGCCTCCACACGCACTTTTGAGCTCCCACTCAGCTTCTTGCCATCCTTGTACCACGTCACCTCCGACTGGGCTTGGGCCACCTCGCAGCTCAGCGTGGCACTGGCCCCGGCCATGGCCTTCACCTCGCTGTGTGCAGACTGCTCCTTGGCAAACACCACCGTGGGCTCTGTGGACAGGGAGGCACACACAGGGTCAAAGTTATTTTCTAAATCAGGAGGACAGCACTCTGGATGCAAGGACTGAGCGGGGAGTTGGCAGGATAGGAAAATCTTCAAGACTCTGTGTGACCTGCAGAAGCCCCAACACCTTCTCAGCACAAGTAGCTCATTCATCTGCACATTGACCACTGCCCAGGGGGCAGTGCCTGCTGGAGACACCGTGATGGACTTCTCCTGATCACACACCCTCTAGCAGAGGGACTTCAGGCCATGAGGGGTGCACACACCCTCCCCAGGTGGCCAAGTCTTTCCCGGATGTGCAGGGAGCATTCCCACCCAGCCAGGGACAGGTCCTGGGCTCCACCTCCCACCTGCCTTCCGTTGTGTCACCTGCTGGCCTCCTAGGGCAGTAGTCAGCAAACTCATCAATCAACAGAGCCAAATATCAACAGTACAAAGACTGAAATTTCTTTTGAGAACCAAAAACCTACTTCTGTGCATGGGCCACGAAGTTTCAATCGCACTGTACATGCGCGCCCTCAGGTGGCATTTTGTGGAAGAGCCACACTCAAGGGGCCCAAGAGCCACATGTGGCTCTTGAGCTGCGGTTTGCAGACACTGTCCTAGGAGACGGAGCTGTGCCTCCTGAGCCTGTCTCTTCCTTGTTTGGATGACTCACAAAATGGTGCACCTTGGCTAAGTTTTCGGTCTTTACTGTTTGCTCTTCTATGGTGTGTCTGTTATTGGGTGTTTGGGGCACCGTAATACTGTACTTCTCCCCACTCCCACCAAGTCTAATGATGTATCTTTTGCGTAAATCATATTATGTGAATTTCACACTTGTATATGTTTTACTTTATTTCCTGCTGACAAAAGTGGTGACTGTGAGCCCCTTTGCCTAGTCCTTCAACTGTCACTTAGTGTCATTATCTTGTTGTCCTTCAGTGTCATTTATTAGAAAAAGGATGATTCCCTTTTTTATAATTGGTTAAGAATCTATTACATGAATACATATTGATAAACATTTCTTCTAGATTTGTGACATTAAATGTTATCAAAACTCAGCTCTGCACTGATGAGATGATCACTTCAAATTTTAGTTTCAATCTGCTCACATCATGAGTGAGGTTGATTGCTGACCTTTGTGGTGCTCACACAGCTGGGCTGTGACTTTCTTTATAGTGCATCATCCTCTTAAGACATTGCCCATACATTTTGATTCTACTTAGCTTCAGATATTGGCCTTGGCTTCCACAATGGATTGGCCCATTATTTGAACTCTCTGTATCAATCAGATGTTGGTGATAGATGTCATGCCGTTGCCACATAATAAGCAGGGACTCTCTGTCCTTCTCTAACTCTAGAAGGATCTCCATGAACACGCAATAATTTCCTTACAGAATAGTTCGTATAATTTTCCTGTGGAGCCACTGGGTGTCATCTTCACCTATAAGAACTTTTTTTTTAATTGTTGTTCAATTTATTTAAAAGGTTGTAGGAATATCAGAGCTGTCAAAATCTTATGTCAATTGTCACATAGTTTTCTAATAATTTGGTCAATTTCTCAAACCTTTTCATATTTACTCCTACAAAATAATTTGTCATATTCTCTAAAGTAACAATTAAAAATGCATACTGGATTCTTTTGTATCTGTACACACCCACAAGTTATTGTACACAGACATAACATCAAACTATCATGTAGAGGCACCTGGAAGTCAATTTGAGGTTAAAACTCTCCTAATAAAATGAAAACACAGTTAGTTCACAGACAGGGACAAATATACATGAGTCGTTAGGAAATACTATGGCATAAATACTGACAAAACAGTCAAGGGCTATCACTATAGTGACTTGTCTTCAACAAGGCATGCAGTGTGGGAGAAGCTCCTTATTCATCTCCATGTCTAAATCTGTACATAGACTCCTGGGGGATTCTGACACAGGACACAAAAGGAAACCAATATGTGCTTTAGGAAGAGAATTCCAGACCTGACAGGTACAGGTCCCTGGCACACACCTGCCAATCTTCTGGTCCTTCTTCACATTTGCACAGACCTTGCAAGAATACTCGGATCTAGATTTTGGGACAAGTGATGGTGCAGTAACTTCTAAATCCACAAGCAAGGGTGTGCACTAAAAAGCTACAATTAGCCAACATACTGTTCAGTCTTGAGATGGCTCCAAGTAAGACTGGGTGGCAGGAAGTTCCCCATATTCTCTTGTAAGGAAATTCAAATGTGTCTCTGCCCGTGTTTCTGGGTGCGGGCATCTGAGAGCTACCAGGATGTGGGGAGTAGGAAATTCACACGACACAGGTAAGAGACGTCTGGTCTACCTCAGACTCCACATGGAAGGTAGAGCACGAGTCCTGGCTGGTGAGGAGCACTCAGAAGGCTCTGGCAGGTGCTGGGAACCATGACTGAGCAAAACCTGAGCAGTACTCTACTGGTACAGGATCACCGCTCCCTTCTGCTCACACTTTGCCCACCCAGCCTGGTCTGGCCCCACCACTGGGATGATATGGGAGATGGAGGATAGAAGGCTGAAGAGGTGAGGTCCACTGGAAAGATCACCAGGGTGTGTCCGGCTGTAGTCATTACCTCCACACAAAGCTAAGTTAATTCCACCAAAGAACTGACCTGGGACATCCAGATGGAAGGTGACCTTTTGGCCCCCGGCCTCGCAGCTGTACTCCCCGCTGTCCCCCTTGGCCGCCTGCTGCAGCACCAGCCGCCGGGTGCAGCCCGTGGCCTCCACACGCACTTTTGAGCTCCCAATCAGCTTCTTGCCATCCTTGTACCACGTCACCTCCGTCTGGGCCTGGGACACCTCGCAGCTCAGCGTGGCACTGGCCCCAGCAATGGTCTTCACCTCGCTGTGTTCAGACTGCTCCTTGGCAAACACCACCTTGGACTCTGTGGACAGGGAGGCACACACAGGGTCAAAGACATTTTCTAAATCAGAAGGACAGCACTCAGAATGCAAGGACTAAGTAAGGAGGTGGCAGGATAGGAAAATCTTCAAGACTCTGTGTGACCTGCAGAAGCCCCAGCATCTTCTCAGCACAAGTAGCTCATTCATCTGCACATTAACCTCTGCCCAGGGGGTGGTCCCTGCTGGAGACAGGTGATGGACTTCTCCTGATCACACACCCTCTAGCAGAGGGACTTCAGGCCAGGAGGGGTGCACATACCCTCCCCAGGTGACCAAGTCTTTCCTGGATGTGCAGGGAGCATTCCCACCCAGTCAGGAACAGGTCCTGGGCTCCACCTCCCACCTGCCTTCCGTGTGCCACCTGCCGACCTCCTAGGGGACTGAGCTGTGCCTCCTGAGCCTGTCTCTTCCATGATGTGGATGACTCACAAAATGATGCACCTTGGCTATGTTTTTGGTCTTTACTGTTTGCTCTTCTGTGGTGTGTCTGTTATTGGGATTTGGGACACCATAATACTTTCTCCAACTCCCACCAAGTCTAATGATGTATCTTTTGCATAAGTCATATTATCTGAATTTGACTTCACTTTTTCACACTTTCATACGTTTTATTTCCTGCTGACAAAAGTGGTGACTGTGAGCCCCATTGACTGTTTCTGCTCTTAAAAGGAAAGCTTTCAAGTGTCACTTAGTATCATTAGCTGGTTTTCCATCAGGATCATTTATCAGAAGAAGAATGAATTGTTTTCTTTATAATTGGTTAAGAATCTATGGTATTGCTGAAACCGGTTTAGTTCAGTGGTAGAGCATCCCTCTGTGGACTGAAAGGTCCCAGGTTCGATTCCGGTCAAGGCCATGTACCTGAGTTGCGGGCACATCCCCAGTAGGAGGTGGGCAAGAGGCAGCTGGTCGATGTTTCTCTTTCATCGACGTTTCTAGCTCTCTATATCTCTCCCTTCCTCTCTGTAAAAAAATCAATAAAATATATTTTTAAAAAAGAATCTATGGCATAGATAGTTATTGATAAATATTTCTTCTAGATTTCTGATATTAAATGTTATCAAAACTCAGGTCTTCACTGATAAGGCAATCACTTTCTATTTCAGTTTCAATCTGCTCACATCATGAGTGAGGTTGATTTGCTGACCTTTGTGGAGCTCACACAACGGGGCTGAGACTTTTTTATAGTGAATCGCCCTGTTAATACATTGCCCATTCATTTTGATACTACTTAGCTTCAGATGTTGGCCTGGCCTCCACAGTGGATTGGCCCATTATTTGAACTGTCCCTATCACATGGTGGTGATAAATGTCATGTTGGTGCCACGTAATAAGCCAGGGACTCTTTGTCCTTCTCTAGCTCTAGAAGGATCTCCATGAACATGCAATAATTTCCTTATAGAATAGTTCGTATAATTTTCCTGTAGAGCCACTGGGTGTCATCTTCACCTATAAGAACTTTTAAGGTGGTTCCATTTACTGAAAAGAATTGTAGGACTATTTTAGCTGTCAAAAACTTATAACACTTTCATATAGTTTTGTAACAATTTGGTCAATTTCTCAAAATTTTTCATAAATTACTCCGACAAAATAATTTGTCATATTCTCTTAAAGTAACAATTAAAAATGTATAGTGGAATTTTTTGTATGTATACACACCCACAAGTTATTTTACACAGATATAACACTACACTATTATGTAGAGGCACCTGAAAGTCGATTTGAGGTTAAAACTCTCCTAACAAAATGAAAACACAGTTAGTTCACAGACCTCTCTGTGAAAAAAGCAGACAGGGATGAATACACATGAGTTGTTAGGAAACACTATGGCATAAATACTGACAAAACAGTCAAGGGCTATCGGTATAGTTCCTTGTCTTCAACAAGGTGTGCAGTGTGGGAGAAGCTCCTTATTCTCTCCATGTCTAAATCTGTACATCAGACTCCCAGGGGATTATGACACAGGACACAAAAAGAAACCAAGATGTACTTTAAGAAGAGAATGCCAGACCTCACATGTGCAGGTCCACGGCACACCCCAGCCAATCCTCTGCTCCTTCTTTACTTTTTGCAAAGACCTTGCAAGAAATCATGGATCTAGATTTTGCAACAAGTGAGGATCCAGCAACTTCTACATCCACACACAAAGGAGCGCCCTAAAAAGCTACTATTTGCCAACACACTGTTCAGTCTTGAGATGGATGCAAGTAAGACTGGGTGGCAGGAACTTCTCCATATTCTGTTGTCATGAAATTTAAATGTGTCTGTCTCTGTCCTTGTTGCTGGGTGCAGGCATCTGGGAGCTAGCAGGATGTAGAGAGTAGAAAAATCACATGACACAGGTAAGAGACATCTGGTCTACCTCAGACTCCATGTGAAAGGTAGAGGTGAGGAGTTGGTGAGAAGCACCCAGTAGGCTCTGGAGGTTGCTGGGAACCATGACTGAGCAAAACCTGAGTACCACTCCACGTGTATAGGATCACCGCCCCCTTCTGTTCACGCTCTGCCCACCCAGCTTGGTCTGGCCCCACCACTGGGATGATATGGGAGATGGAGGATAGAAGGCTAAAGAGGTGAGATCCAGTGGAAAGATCACCAGGGTGTACCCGGCTGTAGTCATTACCTATACACAAAGCTCAGTTAGTGCCACCAAAAAACTGACCTGGGATATCCAGATGGAAGGTGACCTTCTGGCCCCCGGCCTCACAGCTGTACTCCCCGCTGTCCCCCTTGGCCGCCTGCTGCAGCACCAGCCGCCGGGTGCAGCCCGTGGCCTCCACATGCACTTTTGAGCTCCCACTCAGCTTCTTGCCATCCTTGTACCATGTCACTTCCGTCTGGGCCTGGGCCACCTCGCAGCTCAGCGTGGCACTGGCCCCGGCCATGGCCTTCACCTCGCTGTGTGCAGACTGCTCCTTGGCAAACACCACCTTGGGCTCTATGGACAGGGAGAGATACACAGGGTCAAAGTTACTTTCTAAATCAGGAGGACAGCACTGGGTCAGAAGGACTAAGGAGGGAGATGGCAGGACAGGGAAATCCTCAAGGCTCAGTATGGCTTGCAGAAGCCCCAGCACCTTCTCAGCGCAAGTAGCTCATTCATCTGCACAGTAACCACTGCCCAGGGGGGTGATCCCTGCTGGGGACACCGTGATGGACTTCTCTAGAGCACACACCCTCTAGCAGAGGGACTTCAGGCCATGAGGGGTGCACACGTCCTCCCCAGGTGACCAAGTTTTTTCCTGGATGTGCAGGGAGCATTCCCACCGAGCCAAGGACAGGTCCTGGGCTCCACCTCCCACCTGCCTTCCATGTGTCACCTGTTGGCCTCCTAGGGGACTGAGCTGTGCCTCCTGAGCCTGTCTCTTCCATGGTGTGGATGACTCACAAAGTGGTGCACCTTGGCTATGTTTTCGGTCTTTACTGTTTGCTCTTCTATGGTATGACTGTTATTGGATGTTTGGGGCACCATAATGCTTCTCCCCACTCCCACCAACTCTGATGATGTATAATTTGTATAAATCATATTATCTGAATTTCATTTCAGTTTTTTACACTTTTATAAGATTTACCCTGTTTCCCCGAAAATAAGACAGTGTCTTATATTAATTTTTGCTACCAAAGATGCGCTAGGTCTTATTATCAGGGGATTTCTTATTTTTCCATGATGAAGAATACGGTACACATTTATTGTTAAATGAAAATAAAGGAAATTTATTACCTGTATACGGTATGGTAGTACGGTACTTGTCAACACAATCCAGACAAACTGTGAATCCTACAGTATCAAGAATTTACTCATTTATTCAATGATGTTATCATCTTCTGGAACGTCATCATAACAATCCAATTCCTGAATTTCCTGGTGAATTTCTTGTGACTCCATTTCTTTCAGAATCAGTGGACCAAATCTCTCATGTTTAGCAATAGCATTCTGAGACAGGGCCTAGGGGGGCCTTATTTTCGGGGGGATGCCTTATATTTCACTCAGAAAGAAACCTGTAAGTAGGTCTTATTTTCAGAGGATGTTTTATTTTCGGGGAAACACTATATTTTATTAGAGAGAAACCAAGATGGCGGCAAAGGTAAAAACCTAAGCTGCCACCTCATACAACAATTTCGAAACAAAAACTGAAAGACAGAATGGACATCATCCAAAACCACAGGAAAGCTGGTGGAGTGGGAAATCTACAACTAGAAAGAAGGAGAGAGGCTCACGGATTGGATTGGGAGCCTCAAAATGCTGAGGTAGGGAGACGCTCCTGTGCAGACGAGAAGGGCTGCTGAATGCCTGGCTGGCTGGAGGGGAAAGGAAGTCCCCGATTGCAATGAACCCTTTCCGACTGTACTGAACCCCAAACCTGGCCGAAACCCGGGGGACCCAGGCTCATATGGGTGGAGTCCGGACTGTAGAAAAAGGCACCTGGACACTTAGAGACTGGGAGACTAGGGTAGCTAGGAGCCACAGCAGACAGGGTCTACAGTCGCGCATGAGTCAGTATGCGCAGAGGAACCTGACCGCGGAAGTTGCTGCTGCGTCTTCATAGCGGAAGGAATCAGAAGCTCCAGACTACGGAGACCCAACGCAATTCTGGGCAAACCCCTGGGGCACCCACGCTCTTGCGCAAGGAATTTGGACAGTCAGGTGGAAACTCAGGGGAGCCTTGGAAGGCAGAGGTCAGGTGGAAACTCAGGCAAGTGCACAAGGGCAAGGCTGATGGGAAGCCAAAACTGTCAGTTCACCCCTGAGACTCTGTCCCATCCAAGCTGAGCACAGAGGCTTTTGCAATTTTGCAAGTCTGATCCTATAAGACTGTCTCCAATACAGAAGTTATCCCGGAGTAGACACATCTGATACTCACATCCAATGGGCCTGGAAGTCAATTCCTCCTAGTGATACCAACAACAATCAAGTCTTAACTACAACAAGGCTGTTCACACAGTCTACAAAGGGGAGCACCAAGAGTGTCTACCTCAGGTAACAAGAGAGGCTGACCCACCGGAACATATAGGACACCAAACGCACAAAGTAATCCTACCAACTCTGGGAAGCAGCGAAAATGCCGAGACAAGGAAATAGATCTCAAACGAAAGAGAGGGAGGAGAACAAAAGACTGTATATAGAGTTCAAAACCATGGCTATAAGGTTTTTCAAGAATTTCTTAGAAAAGGCTGATAAATTTAATGAGACCCAACTATAAATTAAACATAAACTTACTGAAATAAAAAATATACAGAGATCCAACAGCAGACTGGAGAAACACAAGAATAAAGTCAAAAATTTGGAATACAAAGAGCCAAAGGACACTCCTCTGGAAACGCAAGAAGAAAGAGAATCCAAAAAGTTGAAGATAGTGTAAGGAGCCTCTGGGACAACTTCAAGTGTACCAAAATCAGAATTAGGGGAGTGTCAGAAGAAGAGAGAGTGCAAGATACTGAAAATCTAATTGAAGAAATAATGTCAGAAAACTTCCCCCACCTGGTGAAAGAAATAGACTTACAAGTACAGGAAGCACACAGAACCCCAAACAAAAGGAATCCAAAGAAGATCAGACCTGATACATCATAACTAAAATGCCAAGGGCAAAAGACAAAGAGAGAATCTAACAAGCAGCAAGAGAAAAGCAGTTGGTTACCTATAAGGGAGCACCCATACGACTATCAGAAACTATGCAAGGGAGTGATAAGAAATATTCAAAGTGATGAATAGTGAGAACCTACAACCAAGATTACTGTATCTGGCAAAGTTATCATTCAGAATTGAAGGGCAGATAAAGAGCTTCACAGATAAGAAAAAGCTAAAGGAGTTCATCACCACCAAACCAGTATTATATGAAATGCTGAAAGGTATTCTTTAAGAAGAGGAAGAAGAAGAAAAAAGATTAAAAAAAATTATGATCAACAAATACATATATATCAACAAGTGAATCTAAATATCAAGTGAATTAAAAATCTGAGGAATAGAATAAACTGGTGAATATAATAGAATCAGGGGCAAAGAAAGGGAGTTGACTGATAATTATCAGGGGAAAAGGGATGTTGGGGTACAGGAAGAGACTGGATTAAAATCATACACCTATGGATGAGGACAATGGGAGAGGGGAAAGGGAGGTATGGGTGGGGTCGAGGCAGGAACCGGGTTTGAAGAGAGCTATGGGGGGGGGGGAACAGGAGAAACAATTGTAATAATCTGAGCAATAAATATTTATTAATAAAATAAAATAAAATAAAATATAAAGATCTATTTTATTTCCTGCTGACAAAAGTGGTGCCTGTGAGCCTCTTGCCTGTTTCTGCTCTAATAAGCAAAGTTTGCAAGTGTCACATAGTGTAATTAGCTTGTTTTTGTTTAGTATCATTTATCAGAAGTATGAACTGTTTTCTTTATAATTGATTAAGAATCTATGACATGAATAGATATTGATAAACATTTCTTCTAGATTTGTGACATTAAATGTTATCAAAACTCAGCTCTGCACTGATGAGGCGATCACTTCATATTTTAGTTTCAATCTGCTCATGTCATGAGAGAGGTTAATTTGCTGACTTTCGTTCATAGTGCTCACACAGCTGGGCTGTGAATTTTTTATAATGCATTGTCCTTTTAATACATTGCCCATTCATTTTGACACTACTTAGTTTCAGATTTTGGCCTTGGTCTCCAAAAAGGATTGACCCATTATTTGAACTCTCCCTATCAATCAGATGTTGATGATAGAGGTCATGCTGGTGCCACATATTAAGCCAGGGACTCTATGTCCTTCTCTAGCTCTAGAAAGATCTCATGCAATAATTTCTTTACAGAATGGTTCAAATAATTTTCTTTTTAAAAAAAATAATATTTTAAAATATATTTTTATTGATTTTTTTTTTAAGAGAGGAAAGGAGAGGGATAGAGAGCTAGAAACATCAATGAAAGAGAACATCAACCAGTTGCCTCCTGCACACTCCCCACTGGGGATGTGCCTGCAACCAATGTACATGCCCTTGACCGGAATCGAACCTGGGACCTCTCAGTCCGAAGACCTACGCTCTATCCACTGAGCCAAACCGGTTTTGGTGGTTCATATAATTTTCCATTGGAGCCACTGGGTGTCATCTTCACCTGTAAGAACTATTTTTTATTGTGGTTCCATTTATTAAAAAGGATTGTAGAACTATTTGAGCTGTCAAAATCTTATGCCACTTTCATATAATTTTCTAATAATTTGGTCATTTCTCAAACCTTTCATATTTACTCCTACAAAATCATTTGTCATATTCTCTTAAAGTAACAATTAAAAATGTATAGTGAATTTTTTCTGTATGTATAATACCCACAAGTTATTTTACACGGATATAACACTACACTATTATGTAGAGGCACCTGAAAGTCGATTTGAGGTTAAAACTCTCCTAACAAAATGAAAACACAGTTCACAGACACCTCCGTGAACAAAGCAGACAGGGACAAATACACATGAGTCGTTAGGAAACATTATGACATAAATACTGACTCAACTATCACTATAGTTACTTGCCTTCAACAAGGCGTGCAGTGTGGGAGAAGCTCTTTATTCCCCTCTATGTCTAAATCTATACATTAGAATCCCAGGGGATTCTGACAGGACACAAAAGGAAACCAAGATGTACTTTAAGAAGAGAATGCCAGACCTCACATGTGCAGGTCCACGGCACACCCCAGCCAATCCTCTGCTCCTTCTTTACTTTTTGCAAAGACCTTGCAAGAAATCGTGGATCTAGATTTTGCAACAAGTGAGGATCCAGCAACTTCTACATCCACACACAAAGGAGCGCCCTAAAAAACTACAATTGGCTAACACACGGTTCAGTCTTGAAATTGATGCAAGTAAGACTGGATGGCAGGAACTTCCCCATAAAATGTTGTAAGGAAAGCCAAACCTGTCTCTGCCCATGTTGATGGGTGCAGGCATCTGGGAGCTAGCAGGACATGGGGACTAGGAAATTCACATGACACAGGTAAGAAATGTCTGGTCTACCTCAAACTCCATGTGACAGGTAGAGCCCGAGTCCCAGCTGGTGAGGAGCACCCAGAAGGCTCTGGCAGGTGCTGGGAACCATGACTGAGCAAAACCTGAGCACCACTCCACGTGTATAGGATCACCGCCCCCTTCTGTTCACACTCTGCCCACCCAGCTTGGTCTGGCCCCACCACTGGGATGATATGGGAGATGGAGGATAGAAGGCTAAAGAGGTGAGATCCAGTGGAAAGATCACCAGGGTGTACCCGGCTGTAGTCATTACCTACACACAAAGCTCAGTTAGTGCCACCAAAGAACTGACCTGGGACATCCAGATGGAAGGTGACCTTCTGGCCCCCGGCCTCGCAGCTGTACTCCCCGCTGTCCCCCTTGGCCGCCTGCTGCAGCACCAGCCGCCGGGTGCAGCCCGTGGCCTCCACACGCACTTTTGAGCTCCCACTCAGCTTCTTGCCATCCTTGTACCACGTCACCTCTGTCTGGGCCTGGGCCACCTCGCAGCTCAGCGTGGCACTGGCCCCAGCCATGGTCTTCACCTCGCTGTGTGCAGACTGCTCCTTGGCAAACACCACCTTGGGCTCTGTGGACAGGGAGGCACACACAGGGTCAAAGATATTTTCTAAATGAGGAGGGCAGCACTGGGTCAGAAGGACTAAGGAGGGAGATGGCAGGGCAGGGAAATCCTCAAGGCTCAGTATGGCTTGCAGAAGCCCCAGCACCTTCTCAGCACAAGTAGCTCATTCATCTGCACAGTAACCACTGCCCATGGGGGTGATCCCTGCTGGGGACACCGTGATGGACTTCTCTAGAGCACACACCCTCTAGCAGAAGGACTTCAGGCCATGAGGGGTGCACACACCCTCCCCAGGTGACCAAGTCTTTCCTGGATGTGCAGGGAGCATTCCCACCGAGCCAGGGACAGGTCCTGGGCTCCACCTCCCACCTGCCTTCCATGTGTCACCTGCTGGCCTCCTAGGGAACTGAGTTGTGCCTCCTGAGCCTGTCTCTTCCATGGTGTGGATGACTCACAAAGTGGTGCACCTTGGCTATGTTTTTAGTCTTTACTGTTTGCTCTTCTGTGGTGTGTCTGTTCATGGGTGTTTGGGGCACCATAATACTTCTCCCCACTCCCACCAAGTCTAATGATGTATCTTTTGAGTAAATCATTATTATCTCAATTTGACTTCAGTTTTTCACACTTTTATACGTTTTACTTTATTTCCTGCTAACAAAAGTGGTGACTGTGAGCCCCCTTCCTGTTCCTGCTCTGTAAATCAAAGCTTTTAAGTGACAAGCAAAGTTTGCAAGTGTCACATAGTGTCATTACGTGGTTTTCCTTCAGTATCATTTATCAGAACAAGGATGAACTGTTTTCTTTATAATAGGACAAGAATCTATGGCACGAATAAATATTAATAAACAATTCTTCTAGATGTCTGACATTAAATGTTATCAAAACTTAACTCTGCACTGATTAGACGATCACTTCATATTTTAGTTTCAATCTGATATTGTCATGAGTGATGTTGATTTCTGACCTTTGCAGTGCTCACACAGCTGGGCTGAGACTTTTATATACTGCATCATTCTCAATATAATGCCAATCCATTTTGATAGTACCTAGCTTCAGATGTTGGCATTGGTTTCCACAATAGATTGGCACTTAATTTGAACTCTCCTTATCAAATGTTGGTGATAGATGTCATGCTGATGCCACATATTGTGCCAGGGACTCTAAGTCCTTCTATAGTTCTAGAAATATCTCCATGAACATGCAATAATTTCTTTAGAGAATGGTTAATATAATTTTCCATTGGAGCCACTGGGGTGTCATCTTGACCAAATAAACGTTTTTTTTGTTTTTGTTTTTTGTGGTTCATTTTATTGAAAAGGATTGCAGAACTATTTGAACTGTCAAAATCTTATGCACATTAATATAGTTTTCTAATAATTTGCTAAATTTCTCAAACCTTTTTGTATTTACTCCTACAAAATCATTTGTCATATTCTCCTAAAGTAACAATTAAAAATGTATAGTGATTTTTTTTATTTATACACGCTCACAAGTTATTTTACACCGATATAAAACTACACCATTATGTAGAGGCACCTGGAAGTCAATTTGAGATTTAAACTCTCCTAACAAAATGAAAACACAGTTAGTTTCACAGACATCTCTGTGAACAAAGAAGACAGGGATAAATATACATGAGTCATTAGGAAATACTATGACATAAATACTGACTCAATAGTCAAGGGCTATCGCTATAGTAGCTTATCCTCAACAAGCCGTGAAGTGTGGGAGAAGCTCCTTATTCCCCTCCATGTCTAAATCTATACATCAGACTCCCAGGGGATTCTGACACAGGACACAAAAGGAAACCAAGATGTACTTTAGGAAGATATTGCAGACCTCAAGGGTGCAGGTCCACGGCACACACCTGATAATCCTCTGGTCTCTGTTTAGTTTTTGCACAATTCTTGGAAAAGAATCATAGATCTAGATTTTGAGACAAGTGAGGATCTAGTAACTTCTATATTCAAACACAAGGGAGTGCCCTAAAAAGCTACAATTGGCTAACACAGTGTTCAGTCTTGAAATTGATGCAAGTAAGACTGGGTGGCAGGAACTTCCCCATATTCTGTTGTAATGAAATTCAAACGTGTCTTTGCCCATGTTGCTGGGTGCGGGAATCTGGGAACTACCAAAACGTGGGGAGTAGGAAACTCACACGACACATGGTAAGAGATGTCTGGTCTACCTCACACTCCATGTGAAAGGTAGAGAATGAGTCGAGGCTGGTGAGGAGCACCCAGAAGGCTCTGGCAGGTGCTGGGAACCATGACTGAGCAAAACCTGAGCACCACTCCGCGTGTACAGGATCACTTTTCCCTTCGCTCACACTCTGCCCTCCCAGCCTGGTCTGGCCCCACCACTGGGATGATATGGGAGATGGAGGATAGAAGGCTAAAGAGGTGAGATCCAGTGGAAAGAGAGACAGGGTGTGCCGGCTGTAGTCATTACCTACACACAAAGCTCAGTTAGTGCCACCAAAGAACTGACCTGGGATATCCAGATGGAAGGTGACCTTCTGGCCCCCGGCCTCGCAGCTGTACTCCCCGCTGTCCCCCTTGGCCGCCTGCTGCAGCACCAGCCGCCGGGTGCAGCCCGTGGCCTCCACACGCACTTTTGAGCTCCCACTCAGCTTCTTGCCATCCTTGTACCACGTCACCTCTGTCTGGGCCTGGGCCACCTCGCAGCTCAGCGTGGCACTGGCCCCAGCCATGGCCTTCACCTCGCTGTGTGCAGACTGCTCCTTGGCAAACACCACCTTGGGCTCTGCAAACAGAGAGGCACACACAGGGTCAAAGATATCTTCTAAATCAGGAGGACAGGACTTGGGACACAAGGACTAAGCAGGGAGTTAGCAGGATGGGAAAATCCTCAAGGCTCTGTGTGGCCTGAAAAAGCCCCAGCACCTTCTCAGCGCAAGTAGCTCATTCATCTGCACATTGACCATTACCCCGGGTGTGGTCCCTGCTGTGGACACTGGGAAGGACTTCTCCGGAGCACACACCCTCTAGCAGAGGGACTTCAGGTCATGTGGGGTGTACACACCCTCCCAGGTGACCAAGTCCTTCCTGGATGTGCAGGGTGCATTCCCACCCAGCCAGGGACAGGTCCTGGGCTCCACCTCCCACCTGCCTTCCGTGTGTCACCTGCTGGCCTCCTGGGAGACTGAGCTGTGCCTCCTGAGCCTATCTCTTCCATGGTGTGGATGACTCACAAAGTGGTGGGCCTTGGCTATGTTTACAGGCTGTACTCTTTGCTCCTCTGTGGTGTGTCTGTTATTTGGATTGGGAGCACTGTAATACTTCTCCCCACTCCCACCAAGTCTAATGTATTTGTTGCATCAATCATATTATCTGAATTTCACTTCAATTTTTTTCACACTTTTAGACATTGTACTGTATTTCCCACTGACAAATTTGGTGACTTGAACTCCATTGCCTCTTCTTGCTCTCAGAAGCAAGGCTTCCAAGTGTCACTTATTGTCAGTAGCTGGCTTTCCTTCAGTATAATTTATCAGTAGAAGGTTGAACCATTTTATTTATAACTAGAGTCCCAGTGCACAAAATTTGTGCATGGGTATGGTCACTAGCCCTTGCCAGCGATTTAGGCCTCTCAGGGCTTTCTGGCTGCAGGCTTGAGTCTTCCTTTGTTCTAGGCCACCCACTAGTGGTCAGCATATGTCACAGTGAGTGATTGAACAACTAGTCTCTCAGTCACATTCCCAAGAGAACATTTCCCATATTAGGCTTTTATATATATAGATTGGTTAAGAATTTATTGCATGAATAGATATTGATGAACATTTCTTCTAGATTTCTGACATCGTTATCAAAACTCAACTCTGCACTGGTGAGATGATCACTTCATATTTTAGTTTCAGTCTACTCATGTCATGAGTGATGTTGATTTGCTGACCTTTGTGGTGCTCACACAGCGAGGCTGTGACTTTCTTTATACTGCATAGTCCTTTTAATACATTGCCCATTCATTTTGATTACACCTAGCTTCATGTTTTGGCCTTGGTTTCCTATAATGGATTGGCCCATAATTTGAACTCTCCCTCAAAGATGTCATGAGGGTGCCACGTAGTAAGCCAGAGACTGTATGTCCTTCTCTAGCTTAAGAAGCATCTCCATGAACATGCAATAATGTCCTTACAGAATAGTTCATATAATTTTACAGTGGAGCCAATAAGAACTTCTATTTATTGTGGTTCCATTTATTGCAACACTTGTAGGACTGTTTTAGCTGTCAAAATCTTTTGCCACATTTGGCCGAAACGTGTTTGGCTCAGTGGTAGAGCTTCGGTCTGTGGACTGAAAGGTCCCGGGTTCAATTCCGGTCAAGAGCACGTACCTTGGTTGTGGGCACATCCGCAGTGGGAGGAGTGCAAGAGGCAACTGGTCGATGTTTCTCTCTCATCGATGTTTCTAGCTCTCTATCTCTCTCCCTTCCTCTCTGTAAAAAATCAATAAAATATATATTTTTTAAAAATCTTTTGCCACATTTCATAGAGTGTTCTAATAATTTGGTCAATTTCTTAAACATTTTCATGTTTACACCTATAAAATGATTTGTCATATTCTCCTAAATTAACAATTAAAATTTTACAGTGGATTTTTTTTTATCTATACACAGCCACAAGTTATTGTATATAGATATAACTGTTATGTAGAGCACCGAGAAGTCGATTTGTGATTAAAACTCTCCTAACAAAATGAAAAAACAGTTAGTGCACAGACATCTCTGTGAACAAATCAGAGAGGAAAAATACACATGAGTTGTTAAAAAATACTACGGCATAAATACTGTCAAGGGCTATCACTAGAGTTACTTGTCTTCAACAAGGTGTGCAGTGTGGGATAAACTCCTTATTCCCCTCCATGTCTAAATCTATACATCAGAATTCCAGGGGACTCTGACATAAGACACGAAAAGAAACTAAGATGCACTTTAGGAAATGAATTCCAGACCTCACAGGTGCAGGTCCCCAACACACACCTGCTAATCCTATCCCCCTTCTTTACCTTTTTAGCACAGAAAATGCAAGAAAACATGTTTCTAGATTTTGTGACAAGTAAGGATCCAGTAACTTCTACATCCACACACAAGAGAGTGCCCTAAAAAAACTACTATTTGTGAAAACACTGTTCAGTCTTGAGATGGATGCAAGTAAGACTGGGTGGCAGGAACTTCCCATATACACGTGTCTTTGCCCATGTTGCTGGGTGCGGGCATTTGGGAGCTACCTGGATGTGAGGAGTAGGAAATTCACATGACACAGGTAAGAAATGTCTGTTCTACCTCAAACTCCATGTGAAACGTAGAGCCTTAGTCCCGGCTGGTGAAGAGCACTCAAAAGGCTCTGGCAGGTGCTGGGAACAATGACTGAGCAAATCCTGAGCAGTACTCTACTGGTTCTAGAACATGTCTCCCTTATGCTCACATTTTGACCACCCAGCCCGGTCTGGCCACACCACTGAGATGATAGTGGAGATGGAGGATAGAAGGCTAAAGAGGTGAGGTCCAGTGGAAAGAGCACCAGGGTGTGTCTGGCTGTAGTCATTACCTACACACAAAGCTAAGTTAGTGCCACCAAAGTACTGACCTGGGACATCCAGATGGAAGGTGACCTTCTGGCCCCCGGCCTCGCAGCTGTACTCCCCGCTGTCCCCCTTGGCCGCCTGCTGCAGCACCAGCCGCCGGGTGCAGCCCGTGGCCTCCACACGCACTTTTGAGCTCCCACTCAGCTTCTTGCCATCCTTGTACCACGTCACCTCTGTCTGGGCCTGGGCCACCTCGCAGCTCAGCGTGGCACTGGCCCCAGCCATGGCCTTCACCTCGCTGTGTGCAGACTGCTCCTTGGCAAACACCTCCTTGGGCTCTGCGAACAGAGAGGCACACACGGGGTCAAAGACATCTTCTAAATCAGAAGGACACCACTCTGGAAGCAAGGACTAAGCAGGAGGCAGCAGGACAGGGAAATCCTCAAGGCTCTGTGTGGCCTGCAGAAGCCCCAGCACCTTCTCAGCACAAGTAGCTCATTCATCTGCACATTGACCACTGCCCAGGGGGCGGTCCCTGCTGGGGACACTAGATGGACTTCTCCGGAGCACACACCCTCTAGCAGAGGGACTTCAGGCCAGGAGGGATGCACACACCCTCCCAGGTTACCAAGTCTTTCACGATGTGCAGGGAGCATTCCCACCGAGCCAGGGACAGGTCCTGGGCTCCACCTCCCACCTGCCTTCCATGTGTCATCTGTTGGCCTCCTAGGGGACTGAGCTGTGCCTCCTGAGCCTGTCTCTTCCATGGTTTGTATTGATAAGGCTGAAAAGGGCTAATTCTGTCCTATCAGGTTTGGCTCAGTGGATAGAGCATCAGCCTGTGGACTGCAAGGTTTCCAGTTCTACTCTGGTCAAGGGCATGTACCTGGGTTGTGGGCACATCCCCAATAGGAGTTGTGCAAGAGGCTGCTGATGGGTGTTTCTCTCTCTTCGATGTTTCTCTCTCTTTCCTTTCCTCTCTGTAAAAAAAAAAAATCATTAAAATAAAAATAAAAGGGCTAATTCCAATGTAACCTTGATATTTGAGGGCTAGTGATCTGAATCCATGCTAGCAAGCTCAGTGTACATTTACGATAATCTATAATTAAGTCACTACCTTCTTTCCATATAGGATTCTTGAAGAACCTGCTATTGTGAACAGTGCACTGCCCCAGAGGGAGGGTTATTAATGCTGGTGCCAGGCCAGACCATCAGATATGGCCTGGAGATGCCCAACACCTGGGGGCCTTTTTGCAAGGCCCACAAAGAGGACCAGAAGCATAATCCATATTTGCAGGACAAAGACTACAGGGAGAGATAAAAAGAAGCCCCGTGCATGTTTCTGCACTCAGATTTGGAAGGCTGTTCCCCGAGTCTGCTGGTGTATTAAACAGTGTCCCTGGTCTTCTTTATAACATCAGTTGGTTTTTCTTTAGTTTTCTGCAACAGGGTGATTCAGAGTGGTGCACCTTGGCTATGTTTTCTGTCTTTACTGTTTGCTCATCTATGGTGTGTCTGTTCATGGGGATTTTGGACACCCTATTTCTCCCCACCCCCAGCAAGTCCAATAATTTACCTTTTGTATAAATCATAATATCTGAATATCACATGTTTTTCACACTTTTTTTAAAATTTTACTTCCTGCTTTCCGGCTGACAAAACTGGTTACTGTGAGGCCCCTTTCCTTGTCCCTGACCTCACAAGAAAAGCTTTCTGCTGTCACTTAGTGTGATTAGCTGGTTGTTCTTCAGTATCATTTATCAGAGAGAGGAAGATATGTTTTCTTTATAATTGGTTAAGAATCTATGTCATGAATCGATATTGATAAACACGTCTTCCAGATTTTTGACATTAAATGTTACCAAAACTCAACTCTGCATTTATGAGGCTATCTCTTCATATTTTAGTTTCAATCTTCTCACACCGTGATTGAGGTTGATTTGTGGACTTTTTAAAAAATACATTTTATTGATTTTTTATAGAGAGGAAGAGAGAGGGATAGAGAATTAGAAACATCGATGAGAGAGAATCATCGATCAGCTGCCTCTTGCACACCCCTTTTTGGGGATGTGCCTGCAACCAAGGTACATGCCCTTGACCGGAATTGAACCCAGGACCCTTCAGTCCTCAGACTGACGCTCTATCCACTGAGCCAAACTGGTTTCGGCTTGTGGACCTTTTTAGTGCTCACAGAGCTGGGCCATGACATTCATTATAGTGCATCATCCTCTTAATACATTGCCAATTCATTATTAAGCTAAGTTAGTGCCACCTAGCTTCGGATGTTGGCCTTGGTCTTCACAATGAATTGGTCCTTAATTTGAACTGTCTCTATCAGAATTTGTTGATAGATGTCATGCCTGTGCCACGTAATAAACCAGAGACTGTAACTCCTTCTCAATCTCTAGAAGGATCTACAGTAGTGGTTTTCAACCTATCTAATGCTACAACTCTTAATACAGTTCCTCATTCTGTGGTGACTCCCAACCATAAAATAATTTTCATTGCTACCTCCTATCTGTAATTTTGCTTCTGTTATTAATCATAATGTTAATATCTGTGTTTTCTGATGGTCTTAGACGACCCTGCTAGCAGTTTTCAACCTGTAGGTCATGACACAGGACACAAAAAGAAACCAAGATGTACTCTAGGAAGAGAATTCCAGACCTCACAGGTGTAGGTCCCCGGTACATACCTGCCAATACTCTGCTCCTTCTTTACTTAGGGCACAAACCGTGAAAGAAATCATGGATATAAATTTTGTGAAAAAGTGAGGATCCAGTAATGTCTACTTCCACATGCAAGGGCGTGCCCTAAAAAGCTGTAATTTGTCTACACATGGTTCAGTCTAGAGATGGATCCAAGTAAGACTGGGTGGCAGGAACTTCCCCATACTCTGTTGTAAGGAAATTCAAACATGTCTCTGCCCGTGTTTCTGGGTGCGGGCATCTGAGAGCTAGCAGGACGTGGGGAGTAGGAAGTTCACATGACACAGGTAAGAGACGTCTGGTCTACCTCAGTCTCCATGTGACAGGTAGAGCCCGAGTCCCGGCTGGTGAGGAGCACCCAGAAGGCTCTGGAGGGTGCTGGGAACCATGACTGAGCAAAACCTGAGCACCACTCCGCGTGTACAGGATCACCTCTCCCTTCTGCTCACACTCTGACCACCCAGCCTGGTCTGGCCCCACCACTGGGATGATATGGGAGATGGAGGATAGAAGGCTGAAGAGGTGAGGTCCAGTGGAAAGAGAGACAGGGTGTGCCGGCTGTAGTCATTACCTACACACAAAGCTCAGTTAGTGCCACCAAAGAACTGACCTGGGACATCCAGATGGAAGGTGACCTTCTGGCCCCCGGCCTCGCAGCTGTACTCCCCGCTGTCCCCCTTGGCCGCCTGCTGCAGCACCAGCCGCCGGGTGCAGCCCGTGGCCTCCACACGCACTTTTGAGCTCCCACTCAGCTTCTTGCCATCCTTGTACCACGTCACCTCCGTCTGGGCCTGGGCCACCTCGCAGCTCAGCGTGGCACTGGCCCCGGCCATGGTCTTCACCTCGCTGTGTGCAGACTGCTCCTTGGCAAACACCACCTTGGGCTCTGTGGACAGAAAGGGACACATAGGGTCAAAGATATTTTCTAAATCAGGAGGACAGTACTGGGGACGCAAGGACTGAGCGGGGAGTTGGCAGGATGGGAAAATCCTCAAGGCTTTGTGTGACCTGCAGAAGCCCCAGCACCTTCTCAGCACAAGTAGCTCATTCATCTGCACATTGACCTCTACCCAGGGGATGGTCTCTACTGGCGACACCGTGAAGGACTTCTTTCGACCACACACCATCTAGCAGAGGGACTTCAGACCATTAGGTGTATACAACTCCTCAAGTGATCAAGTCTTTCCCGGATGTGCAGGGAGCATTCCCACCCAGCCAGGGACAAGTCCTGGGCTCCACCTCCCACCTGCCTTTTGTGTGTCACTTGCTGGCCTCCTAGGGGACTGAGCTGTGCCTTCTGAGCCTGTCTCTTCCATGCTGTGGATGACTCACAAAGTCATAGCCTTGGCTATGTTTATGGGCTGTACTCTTTGCTTTTCTGTGGTGTGTCTGTTATTGGGATTGGGGGCTCCATACAACTTCTCCCACTCCCACTAAGTCTAATGATGTATCTTTTGGGTACATCATATTATCTGAATTTCACTTCAGTTTTTCACACTTTTATACATTTTACTTTATTTCCTGCTACAAAATTGGTGACTGTGAGCCCCCTTGCCTCTTCTTGCTCTCAGAAGCAAAGCTTTCAAGTGTCACTTATTGTCATTAGCTGGTTTTCCTTCAGGATTATTTATCAGAAGAAGGATGAACCATTTTATTTATAACTACAGTCCTAGTGCACAAAATTTGTGCACGAGTATGGCTGCTAGCCCTGGCCAGCGATCTGGGCCTCCAGGGCCTTCTGGCTACAGGTCTGGGCCTTCCTTTGTTCTGTACTACCCACTAGTTGTCAGCATATGTCACAGTGAGTGATTCGAACAACCAGTCTCTCAAATTCCAGAGGGAACACTTAGCATATTAGCCAGATAAATAGATAGATAGATAGATTGTTTAAGAGTCTATTGTATGGAGACTTAAGAGGGAATCCAAGATGGCTGCACAGGTAAACACCTAACCGCAGCTGGACACAATCTCAATAAAATACAACTAAAATATAAAATGGACATTACCCACAACTATAGGAAAGTCGACTGACTGGAAATTCCACAACGAGAAGGAAAGAGAAAACCAGAAGGAAAATCAGAGGAACTGTAAAAGTCTAAGGTACGGAGACACGCTACGGGCATGCAGAGGACGGAGCCGGAGAGGAGGGGAGGCTGAGGCCTGGCTGGCGTTCCCTAGTGGGAAGGAGATAAAAGCTCCAGACTGT